TAAACCGATTAAACTTCGAGCAGCTTATGCATTTTGCGTATATACTGATAGCTATAGCAGTATATATCCAACCGGGTATCTGTTATCTGCTAAATGTGCTGCACTAAGCACTCTTCATCCTTACACGCACCCACGCACACACCCCCTCACACACACACACACCCGCACACCACATCACTCATGCGTTCCTTGAAACGTTTCCATTAGTATCTAAAATTGGTTTTGGCATGGCAAAAATTTAATTTCTTTCTTTCTAATGCACTTCATTTGCTGTGCAGCTTCCTTGGTTGTCTCCTGCTCCTTGTCCTTAAATGTTTCGCAATTATTCTTGCTTACTTTTTAATCATGCTCGCTTTGAGCGCTTCGTCACGCTTTGTTTACGCATTTTGTTTATTGTATTCATTGCCCTCTGGAGCTTACCTGTTCTCTCCCTCCTCCCTGTGTGTGTGTGTGTGTGTGTTTTACTCTCGCTGTTTTTCAGCGGGGTAACAAAGCGTGTTACAATATGCAAACGAAGCATGTTGAACAAAGAATCCTTCCTCACACACTTTGTATTTGTTTATATTTTTATACCCTGTACTCAAAAGAAATTAAGCTTAACAAACTGTTTCAAAGGGTTTTCTAAGGCCAAAAATAAATCAAATAAATGTAAAGTGTATTTCTTGACGGAAATATAACTACAATTCGTATGCCACTTTGGAAGATATTCTAAGCTTTGGAACTGGCTACATGGTCCTCGCACGTCGAGTTTGAGGTACAAGTGAATTTGTACCAATTCCAAACTAGTTGCATATTATTTGAATTTATGCATAAAAAATGGATAAAATACTTTTCTAGCTGCAAGTAGAAGTTTGTGTTCCCCAAGCACTTGTCTATTATTATGTTAACTACTTTGATAATTGAAGAGAATACGCATTTGGTTACCTATTTTATGCATTTTGTTAACAGAAACTATATTCTATATAATCTTTGCCTGTTTAGGCTGTGATTATTGCTCCAACTATATAAATTAAAAAATTGTAATCTTGACTTTTGTTTGAGATTTTTAATATATATAAAAATAATTAATTCTTGTCAAGTAACTCTACAAAATATGGAAAATCTAATAAAAGGTAGGGAAAACATTATTAAATAAATCTATACAAAACTTCGTGATCTTATTAAGTAATTGCGCTTAAGGTTATATAAAATATGCATCCAGTGGGTCGTTAATTGGTATATTTTTTAAAAGCTTGAACTTCTTTTTCGAATTTTTAAATTAACTTTGGACAATATATGAGAAACCAAGGCTTTAAACAACACCTAGGTTGATGCAGGTGGGAAACAAGTTTTAATCGAAACGAGCCCCAAGACAAGGAGCTAGTACAAGTCGTTAATTGAAGCATATACTAATAATAATACTAATAAAAGCATGTGTTTCGTTTATTGCAAAGCTAATGTTCTAATTTTTAGCTCTAAACAGAATAATGAAGAAACTAATGTTTCTCCCAATTGGGCCATTACAAAGACAGACAGCGTGCAATACTTGCGCTTAAAAGCCCATTTGAACTGCACATGAATTAGATTCTAATTAGATTCCAGGGCAGACATTTTTGGCTAAAACGACCTGAAATTCTGAGGACCACACGCACACACACACACACACACACACGCACGAGTATAAATCTCAGCATATAACTAGTTCTTGTTGTCGTGCACTTAGCTGGATATTTTCCTGCTTGAGCCTTTGTGTCGGGGCCATTCGCTTAATTTATTATTCAATTAAAGCAGCAAAAATAAACTTTAATCGCACCGCAGACATCAGCAGCCGCAGCAGCAGCAGCAGCCACGTTAAATAAACAACAATATCAAAAAGTATACAAAAGACAACACACACATCAGCACACACATGAACACACACACACAAACACATTTCGCATATGTGCCAAAAAAAAGAGAAAAAATCGTGAAGAAATAAAATTTTTTATAAATATGGAAAATCGTGTGCCAAGAAAATTTTAACAGCTTGTTGTTGTTTTTGTTTTTGTTGTTGTTGCTGTTCGTTCTCCTTTGTAATCGATTAAAAGTGCATGTCAAACTGTGCGTGCGGCCGCATTTTTTAATGGGCTGCTAAAATACAAAATGAAAATAAAAATCACAACAAAACAAAACAAAACAAAAAGTCAGGCGCTTTAACAAGAAACTGTGCGCCTAAAAAAAGGCATCAACAGCAACAAAATCATGGAAAAAGTTGAACGTGAAAGACGAGAAAATATGACAAAATTTACGAGCGCTGTTCACACATATTTGGAGGCCCCCCCCCACACACACACACACACACAGGCATATGAAACACCCTGTGGTGGCGCTTGGGATGCCGCCTGGTCTTGTTTTTAGTGCTTTGGCACGTAATGGGGTCGGCCCATGCACACACACACACAGACACACACACACACAGAGAGAGGCACACACAAAGACAGACGCCCCACCATTCCGGCCACTCAGGCAGCAGTTGCCTTTTGTATATGCTGCTTCGGTTTGGTTTGGTTTCGTTTGGTTTCGTTTGGCTTGGCTTGGCTTGGTTGCCTGCTTTCCTTGGCATCCCCAACACCAGAGTCTGTCGCCGTTCGCTCATCGCTTGCCACTTGATGATGACGCGCTCACTAGCTGCTAATGCGACTCCTATTAGAGATGGGCTTGGGCTGCCAAGTTTAACCGCGCACACCCACACACCCATACACACACACACACCCACCGAAGCAACTTTTCTAGCTAACACAATTAATCTTTTTAATGCATGCATATCCAAGATTAATTTTACAATCCTAAATTACATTCTGCGGTTTTTTTTTTGAAAAATAGAAACCTACGAATATTAATTGTTGCATGCACAAACTTAGTTCTCGTTGGATGGCTTTAACAAAAGGGAGCTTCAAATAATATTTCATATTTTAAAGTAAAAGCAACCGAAAAGTTTTTAACGCTCTATATTCTACTTCTATTTCTATTTTCCATTTTCTTTAATATGGCACCTAATTGATTTTTGCAAACTCTTTAAGCTTAGCGGCCCACATTGGGCGCCATATATTTTTTAGCTCCTAACTGAAAACATTTTTATTTAGCTTTGATTAGGTTTCCGCCCTTAAACTTTTTCCCATTTACAAAAAAAAACAAACTATTCCACTAATTGGTAATTAAACTTTTCAAACTTTTGTTGTTTGTTGAATTACAAAATTTTTTTTTTAATCAACAATATATTTAAGCTAGTAGGCATTCACAATTAATAATCATTTTTCGTAACCACGTCCGACGCCCTTATAGGAAGATGAATAATTTATATACATAAAATGCTGCACACGTTGGGCGCCAAGTCCGTCGCGCATGCATGAAGTTCAATATCAAGATAAAAAAAAAGCGGCCCATCTCTAGCTCCGGCTGTTCTTTCTCTGTTGGAGATTATGTTGTCGATGATGGTTATGCCAAGTTTCAGCGATTCGTTCTCCGTTTGATGTGATATAAAGAACCGATTAGCGGCATTGAAGTGGCTCGTTTTCCGTGCACAGTCCTCATATCTGTAGTCGGTTTGGTCTCCTTGGCAGATTTGTGCAAACCACGAAAGCAAATTACGTTGACGATGAGCATCATTTTCCACTTTATTGAATTACCCCCAAAAACGCTAAGCAAAGCCGGGCCAACCAGGCCAAGCAGGCCAGGCCACAATGTGTGCTGACGGTCGCCGGTGCTGAAGGTTTGGGATTTGGGGATTGGGGCTTGGAGACTGCGGGCTTTGGTCTGTTTGGACGATTTCGTCAGCGCGATAAACAGAATTTCAATTTAAAATATTTTCGTGCTGCCTTAGCATATTTTTTTCTGTTTTGGGTGAACTGGGAGCTATCTCTGTGTCAGTGTCAGCTGGCGCGGCGTCGTCTCTAGTTGGACCCAAGACGTAAAGAAGTTATCAGCGAGACCTTTATGGGTCCCGCTAGGTGCTTACGCGGCACGTGGGGGTAGCTCGATCCTAGGTAAACTGCGACTAATGAAAGCCGCGTGAAAGCCAACGTCTCTGTTCAGTGTCTCTTTGTTTATCTCTTTGTTTGTTTGTTTTTTGTCACATTTTGATGAGTGCGACAGCAGCAGCCAGTGGAACTCTATTAATACCCTGTAACCCTTGAAAACCGACTAAAAATGATATGATTTAATGTAAATGTGGGCGAGAGGCAGAAGAGTCTAAAGTATTTATGTTCTTGATCAGCACCAGTTACCGAGCCAGAACAAGAACCAAAACTAGGCAATTGGAACGTGTGTTTATTTTAGTTCGATTATCGCTAGGCCGGAACGTTGATATATATCGATATGTATATAAAATAAAAATCAAATTTGTGAGGGTTTCTTTTAGATGCCATATTTAATTCTTGCTATAAACAACAAAGGCAATCAAGGAGGCGCTCCCATTGCTTGTTTGTTTGCTGGAATGATTGTAGAAGCATCTCGTCCGCGGTTATAGGGTACCTGCTCGTTGCGCGTACACGACCACCACTTAGTTTTATGTAGTAAATATATATATATGTATATATAATCATCATTGTTACGCGTATTTGAGGCACTTTCGCTAGACAAGCAGCACTAAGAGCGGCCAAACCAAAAGCAACCCACCGCACCTCCACGCAACCCCCTTCCTGGGGCCCGCGCCATTCAGAACTGCGTGCTTAAAAGAGCATTGCCCGTCGGCATTATGTTCTGTGTCAGCGCAAAGGCGTCCGTGGCAGGTTGACTGTGGAGGGGAGGCCCAGAATGCGGAGTCATATAGCGTATGCTGAGGTGTGGGTGGGAAGGGGGGTAGCTGTAAATGGTGTCGGCATTGCACGTTGTTTTGTGGGTTAGCAGGCCTTGCCGTGCACGGGCACGGGCATGGGCATGGGCATGAGCTGCCAGTTGCTATGTTGGCCATGTTGACTATGTCATTTGCTAATTTAGCACAAGCTGTTGGGCTACTTCTACTTGATTCCCTCACAGTGGTTCAAGTTGCATTTGCCAGAAAGGTCAACACAATGTGGAAGCCACAGCAGCCGCAGCATCAACATCATCAAAGCAAACGAACATTAATTAAGCAGCCACAGTTTGGTGGGAATTGATGACTCACAATATTCCGAGTAAGTTGTTTATTCCTTAATACCTACTATGCCCAGCGCTTGAGTAGGCCTGACATACATAACTGGGTCTGGGACATTCGTAAGAATTCTCGATGAAATATATGTGTTGGAAATTTAATGAGTACTCTGTTGGGGGAGGGCAAAATATTCCTAAATCATTATGATAAATGTACTGTTTTATTATATGAAAAACACACTCATGAATTTATTGATACCATTTATCATTTTTCTATTAGAACATTTGCAGGAATCCTGCTTACTTTCTAAATACATTTGTCATTCGAATTCCTTGAAATAAGATGTGGGGAATTAGATGTCAAGATATCAAGATAATCTGTTTTCGCTCTCATTTTAACATTCAATTTATTTAATTTTTTAAAAAGCTTTTTTAAGGGCAGAGCTCAATATCGAGCAGAAAATAACAGCATTAATCTTAGCTCTAACAAGGGTCTGATATTAACTAACTGATTACTTAAGCAAATCTTTGGTTTTTTTAAATTATGAATCTCTGTTCACGACCACAGATCAATTTTTGTGTCACAGTATCCAAAATGTACACGAGCATTATTGATGAGGCTTAAAATACTTATTGGATACGCTTGGTATACTTATTGGTTTTGTGTCCATTACGAGCAGCTTGATGATAATGCAACATACACACTTTGTAAAATTGCAACTGCTTCTGAAAGTTGTTCAAGTGTGCTTGTTAGCAGACAGTTTATCCTCTATTAAATATTTAACAACAAGATTAAATTGCAGCTTTGCCACCCGGCGCACAATTTGAACAATTTGCTAACAAGAATATGAGTAGGGGCAAAAAATCAACTTAATGTTAAATTTAACGACATGTCAAAGGCAACATGCAACAAAACTTTTCACAAGGAGCATGTGAAAAGGATGCCTCCTTTAAAGTAAAAAGCTGAACTAGTTTCGAAACTTAAATGCTAAACTTACTATAGGTAAAAAATGTCTAAAGGTAAATAAATATATAAAATACATATGCATTTTTTGTAGCGCTTATAATATTAACGGTCTTAAAGGCAGCCATGCCCTTGAATTTGGGTAAGAATTTTCCCAAATTCAAGTCAAAATAGCCCAAAAATGTTTAGCATCGTTGCTAGCTGTAGATATCCTTTAAATTAGAAAAAAATTCTGAATAAAGTTTAGTTTTTTAATAAAAAATATTTAATCTTGAATAATTTTTCTTAAAGCCAAACCATTTTTCTAGACTTTAGACTAGTTTTTGTCCGAAGGCGACTCGTTAATAATTTTGTTTGTATTTCAGTATCTTATTTTGATACGTTTACTTGTTAATATCCAATATTCTGATATTTCATATATCTTAACACTAAGTCGGTTTTCTTGGTTTTAGGTTAATTTTTTTTTTTAAGCGATTCGTATTTAGAGTATGTCATTTTGATATCAAGTATACGATAATATCCAGTATTCTATTATTTCATGGTCATGAAAAACTTATAATCAAGGAATATATTTCGTAAAGTCCTTCTTCTAGCCCTTGGGCTGATTTTTATTTTGGAAAGATTTGTTCATTAATTTGTTTTTTATTAGAATATATAATTTCGATTCGTATACTTGAAAATATCCACGATACTTCCATTTCATATTCATTGAAAATAAAGTAGCTTAGATAATTTTTAATCTTTTCTATAAGAACAACCCTCGAGTCCACCTTTTCTTATTCATAGCATTCATATGGCAAAAGATTAAATTAAAAAGTACACTCAAAAGGGACGCCCCGTAGAATCAGGTGCAAAAGGTTGGTCAACTTTTTTATTGTTTTTAATGGGCATTGTGGCTAAGTTACTAATTAAAAGAATTACTTTTATGCTACAGCTTCTGGTGTGCGCCTAATGACCCAACTCTTAGGGCAACATTTCAGTAATAATTCACTTTGTGAGCTGTTAACGAAATTACGACAGAATCTTTTGCGGTTTCCATTTAGGTGACCAGCATTGTGGCATGTCAACCAGGCCAAGGCATGCCTCCTCCTTGCCTTTGGGGAACATTGAAGCCGAAGCTGTGACTCTATCGACCTAATAGCCCGCAGGCTCCAGGGGCTCTGGGGGGTGTGTGGCGGGTGCCTTGACAAAGACTAACGCGCTCTCGTCATACACTTTGACACATTGTTAGTCAAACAAAAGATTTTGCATGCTAATTCGATTCTCCGAAAGCAGCACAAACAAAGTGGATAAGACATGCTGCGGGGCAAGGGTTGGGTGGGGCGAACGGTTTATGGGGCGCCAGCCCAATAATAAAATAGCTTGTGTCGATTTCCCAGGCTTGCCTTCGATGTTGATAAAGCAGTCGGCGATGCCTGCAGCCAAGTCACAAAATCAAAACCAGACCAAAAACCAACACCCCGACACCGCCCGACACCGACACCGACACCCACAGCTCCAGCTCCAGCCGCAGCTGCGTCCAGTGGCTGTGACTGTAATTTTCGTTGTTTTAGACCTTCCGTTCGTCGCCTTTTTGCGGAAGTGTCATTTTTCAGCCCAAGAAGGGTTTAGCTTTCGCTTTATGATGTGGCTCACGCCCGCCGCAAATCACCAAGCATCCCCCCCAAACCGCCGCACCACCCGCACAATTTATATGCCTGCCTTTGTGTGTGTGTGTGTGGCTGTTTGTGTTAAATTTGAGGCCTAAGCAAGTTTAGGTTTTAAATTTATTTATAATAATATTAATATTAAGGTTGACTGGTCCTGGTCGTGGCCCTGTTCGAGGTCCTGATCCTGGCTGCTCAGCGGGCAACCTAATTACGCTTAGGCTAGGATTTTTGAGTAAGGTTAATGGCACTTGCGGTATTGCTGCCACACGGATTCTGATAAAAAGCACAAAAATCCATGGGGTATTTAACACAATCTCGGCAAATAAAATCGCGGCATACTTTAAGGGGCCTCGGGGTCTGGCATTTGTGCGGCTGACCTCGTCATTTAATTTGATTATTTAGAGGTTGCCACTGTGGATTAGACCATTCCGATTGGCTTATTTGTAAGGTTTTTCCAGTTCATGTAGGACTCACAAGTTGCTATACGTTGGGGTATACGAAAAGGCATTAGTCAGCGCTTAACAGAAGTCGCAAAACTCTTTCTCAAGTGCTGCACATAAAATATGCGCAAAGTTCGAGGACAAGCAAAATATTTGGTCAACTTGTAAAGTTTTCAGCAAACGCCTTTGAATGCCTTGGAGTCGTCCGTTGCCCAAAGTAAATGAAAAAGTATTAATATTTTCCAGTTGCCAGCAGGCAGCAGTATTCGAATTATTTTTCCTCAGGGAGTGCGAAAATTTTACATACATATGCATGCACAAACACAGACACAAACACAAAACACACTCGCATAAACACAAAAGGACATCAAAATTTGGTACCCTTTCAGCAGCCAGCGAAATAAAAAGTTTCCTTATAGAAATGTCTTTGCGTTCTGCAAAACGCATTCACCACAATTTGGAAAGTAATGACCGAAATTAAATTGCATTTTCTTAAGCCAAATTTAAATTTAAAAAGCATTCAAATTATTGCAAAGGGAAAGTATCAAGTTCTTCAGGGTGTAACATAATGCGAAAACCAGTTAAAAGACATATTTCAATATCTCAATTTATTGAAGAAACTAATATAACTAATAGATTTTTATAGTTTATAATAACAAAAACATGTTACAGTATAAATACGGGAAAAATGTAATTAAAATTAAACTAAGCTTTAATCAGATAATTTTTAGTTGATTAGCTTTTTTAGAGAATTTGATTTTTGGAACGATTGCAACATCAGCTCCTTTTCGTTTTGCTATTTCCTTGAAGGGTGCATGCAGCGCCAGGAGCCTCGCATATTGTCATGTGTTTATTACAACGAAAAGTGCAAAACTAAAATGTAAACCCAGCGGCAACATGATATCCATTATCTTCCAACTAGGGACTAGGGACCAAAGTCTGCTGCGACGTTCACCCAACAGTCGTGAAAAAAACGCGACGTCAGCCCAATGGCAAAAACAACTCAAAAACTTCTCGGTGTGAATTTAATTTTGTGGCTTAAAGTTGTTCGCATTTTTTCCCTTTACCCAATACCCTGTTATCGATGGAAAAAGGGGAGCGTCGTTAACATGCTTACCATAGAAAACTTACACTTTTTTGTACATTTTCGTACTGTGATACATAAGAGGATGGGATATATCCCTCATAAGGTTTAGCATTAATTCAAATCATATACTTTTTTTATACATAGTCGTTAGAGAGAGAAAATAGTTTGCATGGTTATATACATCTTATAGCTACGATATTATTATGTACATTTATGCCTATTTATTAGCAACATATACAAACGAATTAAGTCTAGATTAGTCCAAACATATTGTGGGTATCTACAAGTCGAGCAAGCTGCGTTATATATTTTATCTGTTTTTTTTATTTTGGGGTAGTGGGGACATCGTCGTTGCCACAATATGTTTAATCAGCAGAGTAAACCAGAGAGCTGACCAGGCTCAGCGACACCTCCCACCGAAAAGGACCAACATTTTGCGCCTTGCTGCCGCCTGGTAGCTGCTGCCAGTCCTGCAGACAGGCTGCCTGCCGCCTGCTCCTCTTGCGCTGCGGCATATAAAAGTTGTCCTTTTTTTTTTTTACATGCACATGCACAGAGACACGATGCACGATATTTATATGGTACGTTGTATATTTAATTTTAGTGCATCATAAAGTTGGCAAAGTCAATGACCAGTTAAGTCAGCACATGAACCTGGTCTGGCCGACGGGGCGTATGCGTGGGCGCGCCCATAAACTTTGAATGTTCAGATTATCAACATTGTGAGTTATTTGAATTTGCACAACGCTTACATTTTAATATAACATTTTAACGCACATAAAGCCCTGACCTGCCCTGACCCTGACTAAATAAATGCTAAAAAACGAAGAAAATAATAATAATATATATGTACTGGGTAAGGCCCAAGGATATCTAGGATATTATTGAAATGTGCGGCTGACATTAAGCGCTGCCTGCGGCCAGTTGCGGCATCCACGCAGAGCACAACCAAAGGCATCCTCGAGCTCGTGCAACATTTTACACTCGACTGGTAACAAATAAAAATATATATATATATTTTCGCAAAATATTTGTATACCCGCACCAAGCGTTTGCTATGGGGTATAATCTTAGATATGATATGTTCAGTCTGCGTATTTTGAGCTTAGTAGAAACTGCAGTCTTTGGGGAGAGATGCTCTCTTAAGGACTTTAGCAGCTATTTGCCAGAAGTGGAGATCAGTGCTGGATTTAAATATCTGTTAATTATTATGTTATACAAAACTTAATTGAAAGCTTTTTAAAAGGGTATATATAATATATTTGATATAAAATCTTAAGACTCAACAAATGTCTGTGACATCCCATTTACTGAATTTGACTTTCGAAATAATTTCACGGATATCTAATAGTAAAATAAAAACATGATTTTTTCTATATTAATCATTTTGTAATATAATAATATAGATAAATTCTCAAATTTTAAATGTAAACTGTGCTCAAGATCTTTAGAATTATATTGATAATGCTATTGCTGGCTATCATCGTATTATTCCACTTTAATTCATTAACTTTAGCAAGATATTTGCATTATTGTAAAGAATTTTGATTTCGCAATGATTGATAATGATAGAAAACAGAAACTTGTATTTTTCGTGTCACGAGCACATCTCTAGCTTGTGCTTAAGATGTTTGTACAGGTATTTCGTAGTCAAGCGACTTTGACATTCTTTTATGTCTGCACACACATTTACTGGCAAGGAAACGCTTCGACTAGACGAGGATGTCCTCACGTATTGGTTGTAGGTGTTACTGCTGCTCCAGCAGCTGCTACTGCTCCTGCTACTGCTCCTGCTCCTGCTCAAGCTGCTGTTCCTTCTGCTATGCTTAAATTTTATGTTTCTACAGGTAGTGGGTGGGTGGGTACTGGGGCTTGGCGGATTTGGATGTTGCCTCATTTTTAAGCTGGCTGCGTGTTGTGCAGCTCCCCGATGGATGCTTAACGTGGGCGCCGGGGCACAATGCGTTTTGATTGATGTTGGCTGTTCGTTGGATGCTTCCTGTTTTGCTTCCCGCTTGCTTACAATCAATTTAAATGCGCCGTTGTGCATTGTAAAAAGTTCCTCTCTTGCTGTTGTCGGCCAAAATCGTTATGTGAAACCATAAAAATGGAATAGTGGGGCAGACAGGATGAAGCCCTTGCAATTGATGCTGTTTGCTTTGGTAGGTGCTGCACATGCCAGCCAGCTTCGCTGCAAAATGTTGCAAGCTTTTTCGTTATAGCTGAACAAACCAAATCATTTATCATCTTTATAGCCTGCTCCATGGACACTGGACTAATCGATGCCTTCAAATCGTCCCCAATGCTACCAAGATAGTAACTGTGCAAGACCTTCTCGATCCATAAATAACAACAACGACAACAACACAAATCAATCATGTGACAAGACAACCTGAAAAAAATAAAACTGGGAGCGACTAAAGAGCAACATTATCGGAGATTGCTGAAAATTTCAATTTAAATTTACTTTTTTATGTGCTTAAAATATAAAGCGTGTCGCATAGCACACCTATAAAAAGAATTACACTTAAAAAATGTAATGTCCTGTAGACCTTCAATCAAAATATTGGGATTGAATTTATCTGGATGATATTGAATCAATTTTGCATATCGTTGGGGGAAAAAATTAACTTTTTACCATTGCATAGTTTCTGTATTTAATGTAAAATGTAAAAAAGTTTACATTCATAATAAATGCATTCAGAATTATAAAAGTTTCTTACAACTGAATTAATTTGGTAATATTATTTTAATAGCATTAGGAGCATAATTATGTTATTTGAATTATAAATTTGTGGTTGTAGAGAATATTTTCGAGCTCTTCGTGCAGAATTAAATCCATTTTAAGTAATTTTTTTTATAAGCAAGTCCTAACAAACTCGAAGTAATCCAAGCAGATATTTTAAGAATATGATACAATCTTTTGAAAGTACTTTATTTTTATAAATACATCTATATAAGTCTCTAATCCAATTCGATGCAATCCAAGTAGATATTCTAAGGAGCTTAAGGAGTGGGAACAAAATGTAGAAAACAAAATATTATTATTTATAATTTTTCTGCTGTTTCTTTGAATTAGAAATTTTCCCTAATAGAATTTTTTCCCAATATAGGTAATTTAATAATTTATATCTATTAGTTTTACAGAGCAATATATTATTTTGTTTTTTGATTAATATTATTTATTTTCCTTCATTTAACATGCATAATATCCATTTTATTTTAAAGTGCATTTACAATTGATTTGTGACCTACATTCATTGTTAAAGTCTGGCACTTTTTTGTTGCTGCCAAATTTCTATAAATGCGGGCAAAAACTTTAGTAACAAAAGTGCCAAACTGTCCACAACAATCAGTTGGTCAATTTCTCAAAGTCAGGGCTCGCTCGAATAATGGTTTAATCCTCACTGCTGCGAGTGGCTGCAAATTCGTTTTGCAACTTGTTTGTTTGTGCCGCAGTTTTAATTCGGTTAACTATTTGCAGATACTCTAATTGAATTCATTTTTGGCATGTCCTTCGTTAGTCAGTTCATCAGCCACTCTCTGGCAGCCGCAGGCGATAATCCACTTTTCATTTCTAATTCCCAAGCGGTTATTGTGCAAATTGAATGATGTGCCTCGCTTGGCAGTTATCTTATTTTAGCCCAGCTAGCAATGTGACGCACTCGGGCTATAAATACTTCAACCAGTTCGACTCCTTCTTGTGTGCGCCGCTCACGATTACCGATAAGTGATGATTGATTCCTTAGCTCAGCACAGATGAATGAGTATCGTTTTACCAGCCGAGTGAACCTCATATTGTTTGTTTAATTTAACACCAGCTTATTAATTTAGCTACTTACAGTCGGATATTAGTCAACTGTAATCGCTAGATAAAGGGCGTCCAGTTCTCAGAAGCGACTTGTTATGCTTCTATTGGCTGTTAATTGTAATTTATGTTTGACTTTCTTGTAATGAGAACAATAATAAACAAAAGGGTTTCAATTGTCGCCATAAAATATATTGTTTGGAATGTTCCAAATAAAACAAAACAAATGTACAATTTATTAATCAAGTAAAGTTTACCCGGACAGCTTCTATAACTTATACAAAATCAAATAATATATTGTATTTAAATATATTTTGCAGATTTGTAATAATTTGAACAGTAATCAAATTTTTTAAACAAAGATTAAATTTCACTAGGGATAAACGCCTTAAGGTATGCAGAACTTTTGGGGTTGTGCCCAAATTTAAATCTCGAGTTTATTGTTTTGTTTAATATTTTCCATTTTCAATATGTGTAAACAAATAAATTGTTGTCAAAGAGAGAGCCTTTTCAGCAAATACTCGAAATTTAATTGAATGCTTCAAAGCTGGACTCGAACATATTCATTAGACCAAATGCACATGAGAGTGCTTAAATCGAAAACCACGAACCGAATGCTTTTAAGCCATCTAATCCAATGGCTCTCAAACTGTGACCGCTATTGTAATTTGTCTTTTTTGAAGTTGCGCATTGCTCGCAGGCAAATGGCATATTCACGCAATTAAACAGCAAATTAAATTATGCATATGAAATATGTGTTCTGTGTGTATGTTGTGTGTGCTGTGTACCTTGCTGTGTGTGTGCGTGTTGCTTGTTTAGTCACCTGAATGGGTGTGTGTGCGTGAAGTAAACAAATTGATTTTGATTTATTTATTTATTGGTGCAATGTGTGCACGTTCCCAATTTTTGCAGTGCCAAAAACAGAAACAGAAGCTGAAAAAAAAACACGTAAAATTGTTGACCCACTGATGTGGACCGAAATATCGGAGATGGCCCCCCAAACTGGATATAGTTGGATGGCGCTGGCCTAGAAACCTCAGCAACGAGCATTATGCGCTGCCAATATTGAAGTGGACAGACACACAGCATTACACAACACTGCCTAACACAACACTACACTGCACATACTACTATATAGCGGCTGTGCGTTCTGTACAATGGTCATCCAGTGCACATGCGATTGCAATTGCAGTGACAGAGACAGAGACAGAGACAACCGCAGCTCCTGTTTGCCACGCTTAACGTTGCGACAACAACGACAACGACAACAAAGTGCCACGCCCCTTGATGCTGGCAATGATATGGAGCATCGGTTTCCATACTATCGCCGTCTATCGAATACCTCATCAGTGCTATACGGCAGCTGCCCACAATTGCTGCCCGTTGGCCAGCCTTGCCACGGTCAGACTCGCAGCCTGGAACAGCAGCAACAGCAGCAGGAGCAGCAGGAGCAGGAGCTGAGGCCATATTCGAGTCTGGTGCGCAGCAAGCACAGAAGCTCCGTGCTGTGCAACAAATGTGCGCTGTGACGAAGATACAACCTAAGCTGTGAGCATCCAGAACCACAACAACATTCGTATCCGCAACAAGCCCACAACAAGACAACAGCAGCAGCTGCAACAGCACCAACAACAGCTGAAGCAGCAACAGCAGCAGCTAGCCCCAAGTTGAGGCAGGCGGCAGCTGCCACACTCAGTACGCCGCGTTATTTGTGCACCGAGTGCCGCTTTAACAACCAGCCGCTGGCCTGGTGGGTCTCATGTCCGCGTCTCTCCAATCTGCCCACTGAAGAACAGCCTCGAATGACAACGCCAGCGATGCAGCCGCCACCGCCGCCGCCGTCGCTGCTGCAGCCACATCACTGCCATGGCACAAATCCGGCGCGCTTTCCACTCCACGCCAATGCCAAGCGGCATTGTGACAATTTTGGCAGCTATGCCACATTGCCCACCATCGAGCAGCAGCAGCAGCAGCAGCTCTATGCAAATGCAGCCACAGGCTGCAGTCGACATTGCGCGGCTTCAATGCCGCCGCCGCAGCCGCATCATGAGCCTGCTCGTTGGTATGCGCCGAGCAATGCCAATCCCAATTTGAATGCCTGTTGTTACATGTACAATCCCACGCCCCACTACGCCCCCCAGCTCTGCGTTTGCGATAATTGGTATCACCAGCAGCATCAACAGCAGCAGCAGCAGCAGCAGCACAGGAGCATCCCGCCGCCGCCCAAGCCACTTTTGCCCAATGGCGGCTGCTATTTGGGTGAGTAATGAGCCTTGGTCCTGCGGCCTTGTGTCCTGTTTTCCATTTAATCAACTTTCAATTGTTCGTGTCGCAGGCTTTGATGCTGCTGCCCACCATCCCAGCCACATAGCCGATGAGGAGGACTCGGCCTTTCCGGCACTCGCCGATCGTGAGTTTCATTTGTTGCATCGCAATATTCCCGCACTGCGTCGCACCGGTGTGGACACAACACGCATACGACAGGTAGGTCCAGTGCATTTACAACTTTAATTGCATAATTAACTGTTGTCTGCCATTTGTATCTATTTAGTACTTTTATCCGGATGGCGGCTGGGGCTGGATCATCTGTGGCGTCTCCTTCCTGGTCCACATCCTAACCACCGGCCTCCAGCTCAGCTACGGCCTCTTGTTGTTCTATGCCGTTCAGCATTTGCATAACACAAGCGGCATAGGTAAGTTGAGTTTACTAACTTTGAAAGCTAGCAAATATTCAGCATTGTTCGAATACCTATTGTGTATGTAACAAGCCTTTGTATTGATGGGCAGTCAAAAAAAAAATCAAAATAGGAAAGATATTCAATTTTATTAGAACAAAAATATGTAGAATTTTGATTTTACTCGTTTAAACTAAAACCTTATTTGAATGTAAATATCCTGAATCTATTACGTTACGTATAAGGTTTTATATTAATAAAACGTGAATAGGTTGATATTAAATTAATCCAGGATGAAGGTAGCAACAAGAATTTAGAAACTAATAAAGTTAATAAATGGAATGTTGAATGTTGTTATTTATCATTAATTTATACTGGAAATTCTATACGTAATTAATTTATCCTGGAAATTCCATACGTACTTTAGAGACTAAGAAGTTTTTTTTATTACTTGTTTTTTTGGCAGACTTTAAAACTATTGGTTACAAAAATATATTTTGCTTTTAAAGTTATTTAAATTTTTTACATTTGATATTTGCTCATAATGGATACACGTAATATATGAAATTCATTAATTTTGTTTGCATAATATAATTTTAATATTCAATTATCCTTCATATAATTATTTCATTACTTTTAATTTTAGGAAATGAATTTTGAACTGAAATAGATATAAACATGTATCTGAATTTTCTTAGGAATTATTTAATTTACGTAATTACCTTAAATAGCATTTCCAATGAATATTTATGCTTTGTGTACACAGGATAAATAATATTCTGAATTCTTTTGCAGAACTATTGGGCGCCCTGAGCTGGTCCGTCTCGATGCTGGCCATACCGTTTGTGGTATCGCTGTGCCGGAAGCGTTCCATACGCCTCCTCTCGATTGTGGGCGGCCTGGTGATGCCGCTGGGCATTCTGTTCACTTCATTTGCCACGGAATTCGGTCAGGTTGTTTTCAGTTATGGTGCGTATATAGTATAGAGTTTATATGCTTTTGTGTATGTGTGTGTGTGTCTGTGGGGGGGATATACTTAAGTTGTGTGCCGGATGTGTTGCTTCCCATTTTGATTTGCTTTATACTCCGCACGCTGCGCAGGCATCGTATTTGGCATTGGAGTTTCCATGGTGCGTGAAGCCTCCACCGTGATGCTGGGCAATTACTTTAAGCGTCGGCGGCAATTCGTCGAAATGGTGGCCATGTCCGGCGAGGGCGTTGGCATCGCTTTGTTCTCCGTCATACTAAAAGAGGGCGTGGGCAAGGCTGGCTGGCGCCTGGGCCTGCAAATCGTTGCCGCTCTAACGGCGCTCAGCTTTTTCATGGGTCTCATGTACCGACCCGCATCCCTCTACCATCCGCAACGCCGCGCCATCCAGCATCTGAAGAACCAGCGCAAAAAGGTGAGCACAAGCAAGGAATTCGCAACTCCATAACTATTGTTAACTGTTTTGACTATTAGCTGCGCGAGAAGAAGCCCAAGCTTACGCATGAAGTGGAGTCACCCACGAGATATTTATTTTTGGACATATCATCGCTGAAATCCGTCACAGTTAAGATTCTATTGATGACCTCCAGCGTGGCTGCATTCGGCATCTATACGCCCATGTTCCTTATGGTAAGTGGAATCTTATTTGATCTTAACTCAGGCGAGATTATACGGCTTTATTCTAGGCCCTCAATGCTGCCAAGGAGGGCTCGGATGTGCAGGAGCTGGTCCTGCTGCAAACCTTTTTGGGCATCTCCATGGCTCTGGGCGTGGTCCTGGCCGGTGCTCTGCTGCGTCGCTGCTTTGTGATCAGACAATTTGTGATCAATACCAAGATTGTTTCTCAGGTGAGTTTATTTACGTTTGTGCTGCTTGACTGATTGATTGACTGACTGATTGGCATTTAATGCACAGACCAATAGGTATACCGTTTGAAACAGAAATTGGTTTCAGTTAACTTCACCCATAAAGGTGGAAAATGCATGGAAACACATAAGTTTCTTTAATTTTGTTTCTGTCACATATAAACTTTAAAACATTAAAATTTTAGCTTAATTTCATTCGGCTCCGTCAAAGCCGGATAACAGAAGCTCGAACATAACTTTTAAGTCTCACTGTTACGAGCTCTTCTTTCCATTTGCAGCTGTTTATATCCATTGTTGCGCTGGCCATACTATTTCTATCCTTTGTGATGGGCTACAAAGGACTGTGCATACTCAGCTGGCTCTATGGCATTGGCCTGGGCGGCTTTCAGTACTCGCTGAAGATTTTGGCGCTTGAGCGCATCAAGCTGAAGCATTTCTCCAAGGCTTGGGGTATGTGCCGCGCAATCAACTCTAATTGGAGTTAATGTTTTCGCACAACTTCTCTTTTCCAGGCTTTATACGCGGCGTCCAGTCGGTGCCCGTGCTCATTAGCGTACCCCTCACTTCCTTTCTCAATGATTACTCGCTGAAGTATGGGCGTGCCGGTTATTATATTTGCTCGGCGGCGGCCGCCATTTCGGGCATCATCATCTTCTTCATCAGCGAGCCACAAGAGCAACAGCAACAACAGCAGCAGCAGCAGCTGCCGCGTGGACATCTCAATGGGCATCTGCCCACGCCCATGCTGATGCGGCACTCGTCGGCGCGCCACCATCGCCCGACTTTGCCCTTGGACTATGGCTATGGCGACTATCCGGCACCCGATCTGCTCAGTCGCAGCTGTATCAGCCTCAATCAAATGGAGCCATATTTACAGGCCACAAATTCCCACTACTGTCAACGTCACATGCATCAGCAGTCGCATTCGCATCTGCCGCAGCATCATCAGCCGCCTGCCCAGCATACGCATTCCCATACCCATCCGCATCCGCATACGCATACGCATCCCCAGCAGCTGGCCTGCCACAATCTAGACATGCAGCAGGCCAGCCGCACACCCTATCAGCTGGGCCAGGGCAGCATTGGCGCCAAGATGGGCAAGCGCCTGCAGCGGAGTCTCTCCTTCATCCAGCAGCACAACTGCTGCGATGGCCAGATGTACTGCAGCTTCCACAGCACCTACGAGCTCGGCTGCCGCAAGTCTCCCAAGTAAGTCAGACCGATGCACCTGAATGTTATGAGAATATGTATATGAGGGAAATGTCCTTTCACCTTTTGGTTTTGAGTGTGTTTTTTGTAGAGCTTCAGCAACATTAACAAAATGTTTATCAGTTATCACGAGATCAAACTCTGGGAGAGGGTTTTACTATAAATTAAACAATATTCCTTTAGGTTTTTAAAAAGAAGAAGCACCTTTTTGGATAATTGCAAGATGTTTTCCTGTTTGATGTTGATACTCTGATGCTTATAAAAAAATAAAAGCAAAATATTTTCTTTTCGGCTTAAGGCCCAAATCAAGTCCCTGCCTTGAGGTACGATCCGTGGACCTGATTTCTTACATTCATGAAGCCCGGATTTGAATCAAGCCCTGTTTTATCTCACTTTTGCAAGCTTTTATGCAACATTTGAATATATAATTTATATAAGCTTGGTCATCTATATCTATAGCAAGCCGTATATATTTACAAACAGAATTTCCATCAACCAAATGTGATTAGATAAATGATATGGTTGTAACCCAAATTATTATTATTTTTTGTTATTATTGCTTAGCCTCCCTCTTAATTTATTCATTTCGTTTGCTTTTTATTACCACAGTTTTGGTTAAAAGGTTTTTTGTTTCATATAAATATATCTATAATTGTAAATCCGTGTGCCCACCAGTTTTGATACGTTTGGTTAGAAAAGATTTCCCTGTTGCTCTTAAAGCGCAGAATATATTAGATGCAGTAGAAAAAAACGAACAGCATTTATATCACTTAATCCCGGATTACCCTATATTTAGCATAAAGCGAAAATTAATTGAATAACTTAGACCACATATAACAGAAATACTTGGATGAACTAAATTTATTCCTTGGATAATTTTGATAGGTAAAAATAGATAGTATATCTATGCATTTTATTTGTATTGTAATTAACTGTTCTTTAGAATAATGTTAGCAAATGTGGCACGCCAAATTTCTAGATGTTTCAAATCCGTTTCGCAAAACGTATCTTAAGGAGAGGCATTGGTTCAAACCGTGAACAGTCACATTACATTTTTGATAAACCTTTTAAAAAATAGTTACCTATTCACTGCGTTTAGTGTGCATAGAGATTTATTTTCAACAGGTTATTTATAATTTAGAGCTGAGCTTTAAAAAATGAATTTAACATACATTTCATGATAGCATCTACCTTCAACCAGTCAAACCCGATTTATGCTGACTTTCAATTAATAAGTTGAGAACTTATGTGACTCCTTTAAGAAGTTAAATTTTATTGAGGAGAAAATTGAATTATAAATTGTTAAGCAATGCGAGTTATTTCTAGAAGCTATCGTTCACACTTAATTGATAAATGCAAGCCACGCAATTAAATGGTTAATTAATTCAACTGAATATTATAACTGAGATGCAATTTGAATGGATTGAGCCGGAGAGCATGTTAAATGGATGCACTTGAATGCAATTGGAATTAAGTGCATGCCTTCTACATGATTAAGTTTTCGGCAGCGGGCGGCAGCTCATATAAAACTGACGTTCAATTATCGAATCTGTGGCTCTTTGTTTAATGCCATCAAGCCATAGAAATGCAATTGGGAGTTGTTCGGCTTCGTGTCAGCGTCAACGAAATGTCAACAACATCATTGCACTTGCACTTGCGCTATTTACCAGCCAAAGCACCTCTCAAGTGCCAATCCCCCTCACGCTCGCATTTATTTACAGATCTCAGGACAGGCAGCCACTCATATGCACTTGCAGCCCCAATTCCACCACATATGGTGGCGGCAGTTCGGCACGCAGTCGCAGCGTGCCGGAGGGCCTATCGACCATGTCGCAGCAGTGTAACTGCCGTCACGGGGCAGGCGTGGCAGCCGTGGCAGCACCCTCCCGTGAGTTTATCTACGTGCCGCACGCCTACGCCTCGCTGCAGCGGACGCCACGTCGTCAGAGTCGTCATATGCCCGGAACAGGAGGAGGAGGAGGCGCTGGTGGAGGAGCTGGCGCCGCAACTGGCACCGGAGCTGGCAGCAGCTGTCAGGCAACTAGAGGCAATCCGCAGTGCCGGCTTAAGCGTTCGCAGTCGCTGTGCCGACCCGTTCACTTTGTGGAGCAAATCACCACCTCCGTCTAAGGGCGGGCGAGGGGGCGTGTCCCCAGCCACTTGGGCAGTAGAATCGCACAGCATATTTTGTAGTTGTACTCCAGTTACGTGAATCGAATTCCGAATTGTCACATCTTTCTAGTCTCTTGTCGTAGTTAGTAGCACGTATAGTCCAAGTCGAAGAAGTCGAAGCATTAACCGAAATCCCACAAGCAAAAAACAAAAACAAATGAAAGCAACTCGATGAATTTTCTAAATCTATAAACCTATTATTAACAACAATACTATTCTATGCGGTTTCGCCGATTTCTAAACGTAAACATAGATTTATAAATAATACACACACTCACACACACACACGGACACACAAACACACACAGTTGGCAGACGAAAAGCTTTATCATTGTCTCAAACAAAAGTATTTAAATGAACTTTGCTACCAGGCAATATTTTCATAACAACAAAAGAAAACACAACAACAATAAAAGAATAATAAAGATTAACAAATGAATAAACAAAGAGGCCACCAGGCAGGGGGGTGAGGGCAGGGCGAGGGGGGAGTGAAAACATATTAAATGGTCCATTTAAAAAAAAAAATAACGTACACATACAAATTATCCACCGATACCAATACGAAATATATACTCGAGTCGAGGCAATTATACGGCCGTCGGCACAGTTTCTGTATATTTTTATTTTACTTTTCCACTGCGCGTTGAGCTCGTGCTTGTGCTTTATTTTTTAATTAAATATTCCATATACGTTTAAGATGCATGAGAAACTCGAACTCGAAGGTAAACAGAACTGCACAGAATTATGCGAAATATTCAACACTTTTTGCCATTTTGCCGTTCGTTGTGGGGATTGAGCCTAATTTTTAAATGGAGAAAATATGTAATATTCATTATTATAATGAGATCATATGATATCAAATGTTTTTAACTGCAATTGCAAGCACAATTTCTGGCATAAGTCAACCGCAATTGAACAATGCGCAAACAAAAAAAATATTTCACAATAATAAATAAACTGAACGGAAAAAATTAAAAGCCAACTAATAATAATTACACTATAATCATAATTGGGACATATGTGCAAATATTTAAACAAAATAATTAACGATATGGAGCGGAAATAAATATTAAAAGAAAAAAAAACAAGAAAAATTTGAATAATAAATTCAACAAATTAACGAGGCATAAATTCAATTATATTTAACATAAGTATTAAATTCATTAAATTAATGAATGCCTAAATACAATTTTAACAAGATGAACTCAAACATCTACGGTATACCGAAGATCAAATACCCTTGCAGACAAATTAGCCGGATTAGCCTCTTTGGAATAAAGACATCAAGTTTCCGATTAAAAGCCAGAATTAAAACGATTTTATGTTGCTATCTATGTAACGAATTTTAGATTTGGTTTTAGTTTTTAGCCATAGCTATGCGAGAGTCTCCTATTTTTTTTATTATTAACCAGCTATAGATAGATTAATCTTTGTTTAACTGAAATATGTGAAAAGAAAGACACATTTAATACCATTTACAAGAATAGAAAGCTCAAATTTACATGACCTTAAGTCTCTTAAAGTATAATAATCTCTTAATTTTGATTTATTTTTAATTGGTTTTAGATTTAGAAAGATATAAAAGCTGCTATATGAGATATATGTAAATTAAAGAGCTTGAAAAAATATGCTTTCAATTCATCTTACTTATTGTTGCAGTAAAAAACAAAGTACTTAACATTTATTCAAATTCTTTCCTTTTTGTACACTATGCAGCTCTCTTATTGTAGAACCTCTGTTAGACAAATATTTCGTTGCTTTAATCACAGATTTATATATATAATTATTAATCGACATTAATGACAGCATTTAATGCAGCTAGATAATTTATTGATGAGCATTAAGCGCACTCTGCAAGGGTATCGTTAATAAAGGATTACAAATTATGACATTGCCTTGGGCAACGACTAACTGCCAATATATGCCATAAAAAAATAAATTAACTATTAAATAAATGTCAGGCGAAAGCTGCAATTTGTGAGCTCATAAAAGTTAATTATCCATAAATTGCTCTCAAAACTAGAAACAATTTGAAATAACTTTACCTTTGCTTGTGTCCTCTCTTGTGTTTTCTGTTGGTGCCACAAAAATTTGCGCCGTTTGTGTTCAGCGCAAAACTTTGCATAAATTAAGCATATATTATTTTAGTCACACAGACACATACACACAAATCATGCATATCTCAATGCCCCAATCTAAAAAAAAAAAACTATTTCAATTTGTCAACTATTTAACTTAAGGTACAATTGTAGCTAAATAAATTTCCAGACGAAAAAAAAAACAAGAAATGAATAAATTAGATATGAAAATTTTGAACTAACCATTGCGAGGGCTCGTTTGGGCGCCACGCAACGCATAAATACTTGTACTTTAATAATTAAATTTGTAACTCTTTATCATTAGTAGTTTAGTGATAAATGTTAAATAAAGCAATTGCAAATGCAAATATAATAGAAACCCGTGAATCCAATTCAAATGTCAACGCAAATTGAAATATCCGCATTGAAATGCGAAAGGTGGTCGAAATTAAATTCACAGCATGGGCTTAGCCACAGGATGCAGGATGTTCGGCTGCTGGGAAGCTCGGCGCAGGATTTTCGGCTGTGCCCGCAATAAACTTTTATTTATTACGTGCTAAAAATTAATAAACCTAGGCAAAGGTTGAAACTTGGCCACGAAAATGTCATATTTTATTTATTAATTAATGACATTAACATAAAGCGTCAATTTGTGCACACACACACACACACTCACCCGAAATATACCAAACTCTAATGCCAGGCGATTAAAAACTTTGACCCCAAAGGGAAGTCAGAGTAAGGCTCCATTTCCGTTTTATAATACCTACATATAACCCGGGGCGCCATTGTGGAACGTGCCTAGACTGCAAACAGTTGAGCAAGTAAGCAGCCAGACAACAAAAACAACAACAACAACAACAAGGAGAACAACAACAATGCAGACAAGAAGAACGGCGTCAATGATATGCTCAATTTTTCATGCATTATGCTGGCGCACTGTGCGTATGCTTAATATTTGCCTGATATTGACTTGGGCACAAAGCACAGTTAAGCCTGGCAATATTTGCGCTGTTAGCTGGATGGTAAGGAGAGGAGCGGAGGAGGGGACTGCAAAGATTCCACATAGAAGCCGTAAAGCCAGCCTAAAATGCATAAGACAATTTGTGCCGCCAGCCAAAGTCTATATAAATGTCTTACGACTATACAACTACCACTATTTATACAATCCTCCCATGTGTGTGTGTGTGTGTGTGGGCACGTTCATGTATGAAACTATACAAGCAGATCCAACGGTAACTGTTGTCTATATTTTACGTTAGTCCGAACCGAATGCGGACCATTTCCCTTTAATTATTCAGCTTGTAGCTGTCAGATCCATTAAGATTTTTAGTTGAGCGTCTAAATGACAGTTAGATATGGAATTCAGGGTAATATGAAATCAATTAAAATATAGGAAAGTGCTAACAGGCCTTTAGGTCAATAAAAGACGTCAAAGTTATGGCAGTGGAAAGCCTGTGAGGGAAGGGAATAGGGGGAGGATAAAAAGGATAACAAGTTATTAAGGGGATTCTGCGAATATACCAAGATTGTTTTATTGAATAAGTTTCTTCGACTATCTGATATGTATTTTAGCTCTCAGACCCTATTATAATCAACGCTCATCTTAAATATCGTTTAAGCTGAAGAGCCCAAACTTTCTTGGTAGTTTCTAGTATTAACTTACATTAAGAAAGTTTTACTATTTCGATAACTGTCTTAGTCTTATCAATTATTATAAAATTTCTTTAAAATATATTTCTCTGTATTTCTATTTTATTAGAAGAATTATTAGAATTTAAATTTCAGCATGCTACAAATTGCTATTATTCTCATATTTCGTTCAGGTTCATGATGAGGTTAAGGAGGCATATACTTATGTATATCACCTTGCTATAAATAGAGAGTCAAGACTTCGCTTAATCTGTCAAATGAATTCGGCAATATTTTTGCTATATATCACACTCTCTTAGAATATACCCGCACATAATCAATACAAATTAGAAAATAAACTTTTTTAAAGCCTTGTAGAACAGGGATTGGTACTTATTTTAATTAGAACAAATTATGTGAAGGGCTTCTTGGTAGGCATAACAAATTAGCCGGCAAAGAAGCTTTTTAATGTTTAATTAGAATGTTTGGCAAATTAATTTGAAAAAGACAAGACGACTTCTTTAATAACAGCGAAGAGTTTTTAAAGATGAAGAAGCACTTCATGGCGAATCCAACGATACCTAAGGGAGTGGGAGATGATACGAAGGACATGCCTCAAGAAAGTGAAGTTTGGAAGAGTAGAAATAAATAAATGCTATAAGGCAAAGCAGAAAGTTGCAGAAAAACCCAAAAAAGTTGTTCATAAGGTGTAAATAAAAATATGAAAGCTACATAAGATACGCTGTGGAAGAGCATCGCAGCCTCGTTGCTGGGGATTCAACTTTTGTTCAACTTCCGCTTGTGGATTTCGGATTTCGGGGGTTGGTCCTGAAGTCAGCGCTTCGAACAGAGGCCGTGCGAAAACAATCGCATGCCAAAGTCAACTTCACGCCGAATTGTCGTCAAAATATTGCCAGGGGCCGGAGGGTGTGGGTTTGCCCGAAGCCTGCTCAGTGATGAGTCCTGCCCGTGTCCTGGCCAACTGTCTTCGCTGGCTTTGTTGACACAGCAGCAGCATCAGCAGCAGTAGCAGCCGGCAGAGGCGTCGCTGCTGCGCTGGCATGCGCACACGCACAGGCACGCTCTGTTGCCTACTTCCAGGCGTCTTTGATGCTGTCGCCGTTCATTGTTGCGCTTTTGCTGCCATACAGTGCCCTCCCCTCTGCCCAAGGGGTGTCGTAAACATCTGTTTTGTGTTTGCCTTTTGCCTTCCAGACGCGCTCGCTCTCTCAGGTTGCGCACTCGGCTCTCTCTCTTTCTCATGCTCGCAGCATCCTGGCAGCGCTTCCATATGATGGCCAGCGACTGCTGCGCGTCTCCGTGGCAGTGCTCCGCATCAGTTCCAGCATCAACGCCACGGCGCACGGAGCCAGCTCGACTCGCAGGACACGCAGCAGCAACGCACACACACACAGCGTACGCAGAGCCAGATGCAGAGGCAGTGGCTGAGGCAGACGCCTGGCGCAGAGGCCCAAAGTGATTTTCACAACCAAACGATTTTCTAATTTTCCACGAGACAATTAAAAACGCATTAGCCAAATGGAGTTGCCACCGTCTAGCTGAGACTATTAACTGCCACATTTTGGCCAAAAAAATATATAAAAAATAACACACACGCACACAAAAATCTAAACGTGATTTTCCACAGTGCGTTGGCTGTTTTCTCTCCCCTCAAATATCGATTGCTGCTGCCTTGCATAAGTCCAGAGTTGGGTATACAAACGCAGTAACTCAGCGCGTCTGAAAGGTGTAAAAAAAAAAAATACAAATAATAAAAAAAAAACCAAATAAAAACAACAAAAGATTGGAACACGAGATGCTGCAACGCCCAGAACACAAGAACGCACACGAATGCACAAGAACAACGATGGCAACTTGTCGAAATTAAGTTTTAATTGTACATATTGAAGCCAGCAGCGGGGCAATGGCGATGATGATGTTGATGCTGCAGCAACAACAGCAACTGAGGCAGCGCCAAATGCGGACAAAGTGAATTTTAAACAATTGACAGCAGCAACAGCAACACGAGTATCAACAACAGCAGCAGCAACAACAACAAATGAGGCAGCTCCAATTGCAAGCAAAGTAAATTGTAATCAATTGACAGCAGCAACAGCAACAGCATCAACAACAGCAGCAACAACAGCAGCAACAACTAAAGCAGCAACAACAACAAGAGCATTAACTACAACAACAGCAGCAACAACAGCAACAACATCAACAATAGCAACAAGAACAACATCAGCAGCAACAACAATAACAAGAGCAGCAGCAGCAACATCAGCAACAACGAAAATTTTATATATAGCCTCAGCAGATTTCGAGCAAAGGTACCTCGCAGTGTGTGTGTGTGTGTGTGCGTGTGTGTGTGTGTGTTTGCTAACATTTATTTTTGGGCCAAAATGGATATCGCCCTCCGTGGCACAGCATCAACGACTGGCACTGGCTCGGCCACAGGCACTGGTAAGTCCTTGAGAACTAAGTCACTGAACTGACGCTGAACGCAAAACATGTCAGTTCGAAGACAGCTACAAGCAGTTACAGTTACAGCTACAGCTACAGTCACAGTTAAAGCAAAACACACACAAATAATCACATAACATTGTGTATGATGTGTGTGTGTGTGTGTTTTGCTGCTATTGTGATTCATTTGTCTGTCCTTCTAATGGAAACAAACGCAAATACTCAACAACAATTCATTTCGCAGGTTTACATCATGCCGTCTCATTGGGCAACATTGGGGTCTCCACGAAGGTTGGTTGCACACTAAAAATATAACACACTGACCGAATATTGTATGAGCTGTAGTTGGGCAGAAGTTAGAGTATCATTAACAAAAGAAATGTTAGCAAACTTATTTGGTGTTATAAGAAATAATATGCAAGAGAAAGTGTATTTAATAATTTTATTGTTTTTACCTTTTTTATTATTATTATATATCTTAATATTTTAATTAATTTTTCTTTTTTTATTATATACTAAAACAATTATGGTCTTCGGTAAAGTCTACACCACATCCATAAACTTGACATGTATTCGAACCCAAATATTAATTGTAAACGTTTTTATAGTTTAGTCAATTGAAATTTAATTTTCTCATATATATCATTATATATTAATATATATTTTTATATTATATTATATATTTTATCTTTAACAAAATAATTACGATATATTGTTATTGTCTAGGGTCAGGTTCCATCTTTTAATTGAATATTTTTATATTCTTTTATTTTAACCAGATACATTTAACTCATGTTTCGCATCATTTCTTAATGCTAAAACTAAGACTTACAAATTTAAAACATCTTCTTTTTTAAAAAGAAGAAATACATCATTTTAACAGCTTAAAACACGAAATAGATATATAACGTATACGCACAGGAAATATCTTAAAGTTATTAAAAAAATTTAACAAACATTTCTAATTTAAATGGATGCTATTATCGAGAACTTCTGTTGAGTTAAATAAATAATTATTATTATTTTATTATTATTTAATATTCGCGTTACATGTGGCGTATGCGTAATATTTGATTTGCCACTTGTAAAGTTTCGAGCTTTAGTTTGTAGTTTTAGGCTAGGCACTGACAAAGCACCAATCTCTAATCCCTATCAGGCCACCTATTCCAGCCACATGGATCGCAACTACGACTCTGAGGATGAGCACACGGGTCGTCGACGTTTGCGTCAAACTCATTCCACCGAATTGCAGCCTCGCACCTCCGTCTATTCGCGCGGGGACATAAGAGAACAGGTGAGCGGGCGCCACGATTACGATTAGCAATGCACAACTTACCTGTCTCTCTCTCTCTCCCCCTTCTCTATATAGTACTGCCTTACAGATCGTCAGCTGCACAGCATTGAGCAGCGTCCGCGTCGGGAGCGTTTCTTCGGCTGCCTGTCGCGCCGAGGCCAGACACAGACGGGCAGCTTTCTGGGGGGCTGTGTGGGTCGACGTGTGCCCTCCGACGAGAATCTGGCCGCCTATGCGCCCTTCGAGAAGTATCCGCGGTGCGTGTTATCAATCGAATTTCTCGTAATATTTGCTAATTTGGCTTTTGTTTAGCTATCAAAACAACTATACGGACACACACGAATTGGATAGTTCCTATTTTCGCCGGCAACCGGCATCGATTTTGAGCACCGGCAAGTCCAGTGAACCGGATTTGGGTGGTCGGTACAGCTGGATAGGTCAATCGGCACAGATGAACAACAACAGCGATTATCAAACGGAAACAAGGTATGAGTCTTACAAAAAGTCGTAGCCGTAAGCCCCCGCCCAATCAAACCGTAAAATGCTATGCCAAACTGTCGGTAGAGATCATGCTTAAACTGTCGCACTATCTGTTGATTCTCTCTCTGTCTCTCTACCCATATATATACATAAGACACTTCTATGTAAAACGCTTGCAATGCTTGCTCTTAGCTATTCCCATGCAACAACAACAACAACAATAACAATAACTATTACAACAACTACAACCAGCCTGCATATCATCTTTGCATAATGCCAAACGCTTTTTGCTTTCAAGGTCTATCGCTTTCTGTAAACTACACTACAATATCTTTGCGATTGCCACAAAACCCAAAAACCAAAAAAAAAAAAAGAAACAATCGAAAATCAAACAAAAAGCTGTAAAATATATTTCCTATATACTTTTCGTTATTCATTCACCTTCCCCCACTTCTCTCTAAAACGACTAAAAACCAATTAAACCAAATTGAAACCAAATCCAAATAACTAAATGAACAAAATGTGTAAAAAGGGCAACTTGTTGTACAGCACCACTTGAATCCTTTTACCAGGATGTTTTGCTACGGAATTATTATGTCGAGCTATGCGCTCCACCACATCCTACACCACCAACATCACACACCACCAATCAAATCGCTAATGTAAATGTTTGGTATGTAAAGTGATCAACCAAAGAATGATCTTTAAATCTTAACTTAAATTAATTACAATTTAACTTAAACTAATAATTAAGAAAAACGTTTTAAAAGTGCGCTAATTAAAAATGAGTTTTTTTTTCTTTAGTATTTAAATGCTATGTGTCTGCACGTGACTAAAGTTCGAGAAAAGAGAGCAATGTTTGTTAGCTATATGCCCAATATAATAATAATTCTCTAATAGTTCTCGGTCCACATTCTGTTCCACAGCTCGTATCACTGCCCCACATATGCCACGATGCCCATGCCACAGCAGCAGCTGCAACAACAGTCTGGCAACCCCAGGTGAGTAGCTCAAACAATTAAAATAAAAAGATATGTATAAAAAAAGCATTCTTTTACGATCTTACCAAATGTGCTGTCAAAATGTATGTTAGCTAACAGCTAGTTTAATTTGAAGTCCACTTTAATTACCATTCAATTCACCAGCCTCTTTTTAAGGAAGTCTTAAGAGCTGCGTCCAAGTCTCGCAACGTCGAAAAGCGAATACCATATAAATGATATAGGGAAACAAGTAGAAGAAAATTTCAAAACTAATATTAGGCTGCCAGCAACAAATGCTTAAGAAGAGGAAATGTCACCAAACATTATGTTAAATTGCATGCCACCTTCAGCTAGAACATAAAAACACTTGAAACTTTCCCTCAACTAATATCTGAATATCTTTCGATCCACAGAACTAAGCACGTAAGCTTCGCCCGATCTCATACCCTGACCAGCTTCGACGCCGTCAATGCGGGCTTTCGCTCTTCGGAACGCTTGAAAAGCGCTCGCAGTCAGGAGCGTTTGATTGGTGGCAAGAAGCCTATCATTGCAACGGGCTCCATGTACGAGACTCTGCAGCCCATGCTACCCCATCAGCAGCAACCACAGCAGCAGCAGCAGCAACAACAACAACAACAGCAGAGCTCGACGCTGCCGAAGACCTGGCTGCCAGCTCCAGTTCAGCTGCAGCCATGTCAGCATCACCATGCTCCCATTCACTTGCATCAGCAGTTACCAGGTAAGCCTGGCTAAATTCCCCAACCCACTTTGTGCAATCTTACCGAAACCCCTTACTTAAATCCGCAGACAACATGGTGGGCCTGATTATACCGCAGCCGCTGCCTCTGGCTCTGCCGCCTCCCAGTCCCGAGGTGCTCATTATCGAGAAGAAGTTCCGCAGTGCAATGAAGACGCAGGCAACCCAAACGGAGGTGGCGGCTCGTCGCGAGGGCCTCTCCAATTCCCAGCTGCTGGCCATGAGTCCACGTGCTCCTCATTGCATCAAGGTCATGTCGCAGGGCGCCCAGACGAACGGCCTGCAGAATGGCAAAAAGCTAACGAAGAGTCTGTCGGAGATACCCAATGGCAAGGATCTGATGCATCAGCATTATCAGGGGTAAGTCTAGGCTATTTATATTACAGGGGTCAGTAAACTTTTTACCAAGAGTAGCATATAAGCTGCTAAAGAAGAAGTCTAGAAGACTATTACAAGACAAGGAATTTTTATGATTTGTGGTCATATAGGACCCAATAAATCCTGCTATAAATCCTTCGAATATATCCACTTATATCTTCCTGTAAGTTACTGGAGTCTAGTAAAGAGCCTTTTGTCTTGTGTCTTGTAGACGAAATTATAGATTTAAACGAATCTATAGATCCTCTCACACTCTTTCGATCAAGGAACCTGAAGGCACCCCAACTAACCATCTCTCCTTGCTGCCTTTCAGTTCGGCCTATCCTCACGACTTGATATATCGCACCCAATCACAAGATGTGGTCCCACTGCAAACAATCTCCGATGCACAGAACAACATCATGTACTATAAGCCGCCGCCGCCGCTGCTGGACGCGCATAGCTACGGTCTTGGCATGGAGCATCTGAGTCGGGGCCGGGTCGAGCAGAATGTGGAGTACGTAAATGTGAATGCAGCTGCGCTGGCGCTGAACGAGAGCTTCGACTACGAGAGCAACAGCTTGCCACGACGGGCGTGCACCTCGCACGTCCGCACCGAGACGGATTACTTTTCGAACAGCCTGCCCCGGCGTCCGGATGCACTGCACAGCCACGATGTGTGCAAACACATCACGGAGTGCGCCGAGCTGATGACGGACAGCGTTCCGCTGGATTTCACGCGACCCCATTTGCTGCCGCCGCCCAGTGAGTACTGCAAGAACGACGATGATCCTGTCGAGGATTACTTCGACGATGAGGAGGAGGAGGAAGAGGATGTGCGAGCACATGAAACGGAGAGCTACAGCTCAGAGGTGTGCATGGAACAGGTCGTGGCGGCGGCGCAGAATCGTCGCATGTCCATGTTACCCATGGACGGCTCACCCTTCAGGCGGGACGATGTACGCCGCCAGTCGATGCCGATCTATGGGCAAACAGAGAAACTGATCGATGGCTTTGGGCCACGCAGCTCGTTTCGGCATCGCGACAAGGTCAGTTGCTTTGCGAACGAGCCGTCGCCGCGGGACGAACAGGAGATCTTCATAGACTTCAAACCACATGTCTCGCCCAAGCCGAGTCCCAAGCAGCAGGTGAAGCATCGCAAGCAGCACAAGGCGGAGATAGCCATGCGCAAGATGCAGCAGCAGCGGCTGGCACAGGCGGCCGCCCTAACGCTGCCCAAGTTGAAGCAGCCAGTCGAGGTTGAGGCTAGAAAAGTTGAGCTTGAGCCCAGCGACGAGGAGGACGACGAAGAGGAGGAGGAGGAGGAGGACGATGATGCCAATGAACAGGCACAGCAGGAGCACGAGCCCGACTCGGAGCAACCGCAGGCGGACGACGATGATCCAATCTATGAGAATATCACGCCCTGCGCCTGCAAGCTAGAGCCAGCGGCCACCGAGCTTGTGGACAAACGGACGCAGTTCCGGAAGCGTTCGGTTAGCCTGGACGATGACTATGCCGCCGTGACGGCCGCCTGTCCGGCGCCCAGCTTGCGTCTGCCCTCCACGCCGGCCAGTCCCTGTCGCGATGAGCTGCTGCTGGCCAATGTCTCAACTTATCCATCCTCAGACTCGCTGGCCAACGACACCACCCGCGATCACTCCGACGGCATCTGGAATGAGTCCCAGGTGACCGTGCTGACGGCCGAGCAAAGGGACATCTCCGATGGCTCCTACAGCTCCAATCTGTTGCTCACGCCCTCGTCCAAGCGCAAGAATCTGCTGCTGCAGCATCAGCAGCGCAGCTCCGTGGACACAGATGCTCTGGACCTTGAGGAATTGGTGAGTCTTGAATGGACACAAATCCCTCTCCCACCTGAACTCTTAACGCTTCTTCTTATAGAGTCCCACCTATGGCCTCCAAACACTGCCCAAGATCATAAGGACGCCCACGCCCACAACCACAAAGCCGGCGACGGTGCCCACCCAACCGATCCTGACGCCCGCCATTGCCGTGACGCCCTCAAGCAATCAGCTGCCGGACTCGATTAGCTCCCCTCTGCCCAAGCGTAGCATGGCATCCAGAAGCTCTATGCCAGATGCCCGCCAACTGATGTATGTGACCGGAGTGCCCAAACAGCGGTAGGTTGAGGTCTCAGCCAAGCCCAATGCGAACATCCATTTAACATTCTTTCGTTCCGCTTAGCCACTCGGACGCCTCGTTTCTGCCCTCCGGCACGGAATATGCGCGCAGCGCCGACATTTCCGAGTGCAGCACAAATACAGATGAGTATGCGACCTGCACGGATACCTCGAAGCGTACACCAGGTATTAAGACACCGCCGACCACGACTAGCTCATCGTCGACTACACAAGTGCCAGGTTTGGGGCCCCCAAGTATTGTGATTGTGTGTGTCTGTGTATGTGTATGTGTGTGTAGTCCACATGTGTGTTACATCCATGAATGTTGTGCCGTATTCCCGGACTCAGTCAGTGCTCATCCCTACACCAATCACGCTTGCCGCCTTAGTACTATTCTAGCCTCTTGTATAGCCTAACGCCTCTTAGCTCATCCACATTCACGACTCTCTAGTTTGTTGTTGTTGCTTGACGAACGCCTTGCCCGCAATGCTTTAGCTGTCTTTAGCCGTCAATTATAAAGATCTGTACTAAAATATGTCCATCTCGCATTTGTAGTATCCACGCAGAGCTCACAGCTGGAGAAAACCCATGCGGGCAGCTCATTCGAGAGCGCAAGTTCGCTTTACTCCATGCGCGAGGAACTGCTGCAGCATGACGAGAAGCCGCCCGCAAAAGGCGCACAGCTGAAATCCCCGATGGGCTCGTCGGCTGAGCTGACCAGGAAATCGCCCTCGCACTCCATAAGCAGCACCACCTCATCGGGCAGCTGTCAGGTCTCGGGCCAAGCCATCAAATCACCCGCCAAAGAGTGTGAGCCCCAAACAGTTGGCAGCGCCGCCAGCGGCCAGATGAAGGTTAGCGCCGCGGAGACGGCGCCGCCGAAGCCCAAACCGGAATCCATATCGGAGGATGAGCGCAGCGAGGTGCGTTACTCCTCCTCCGGCTACTACGAAAGTCCGCATGATGAGGAAGACGAGGAGCAGGTCCAACCCAGCTGCAAGTCGCGTCGCCAGCGGCATGAGGACGAGCGCAAGCGACGCAAGACCTGCATGAAGCTGGACATCGAGAAGGAGAACATGCGCGCCCTCACCAGTCCCATCAAGAAACCCAGCGGCGCCGCCAAGCAGCAGTCGCCGGAACAGCACAGCGCTGGCATTCTCGAGGGCGGCAGTCCCAGCAAGATGAAACGTTTCCGTCCCAAGATACGGCGACAGCTGCGCAAGAGCTCCAGGGAGGATGTGCTTGCTGCGGCTGCCGCTAGACGCACGCGTGCCACGCCCACCATTTATGGGCTGAGCAGCGTCAGCGGCGACACAGAGCTGCTGCTGGATGCCAGCATGACCAGCACCATGGGATCCAGATCCAGCTCCGCAGCAATAGCAGCAACAGCAGCAGCAGGCGCAACAGTAACAACAGCTTCTGCGGTTGCCACAACGACAACCACGTCGGCCTCTTCCACGGGCACTGCCACACTGCAGGATCAGGAGGCGGCGCCACCACCCACTATGAGAAAGCCGCATAGCTGTGCCACGCCCACAGCGCTACTATCGCCCAAGCTGGCGGCTGCCGTGCCCGTGCCCGTCACCAAATCCGCCTCCGATGCAGGTCAGCTCAAGGCGAAGTCCATTGAATCCTTGCGCTCCGTGTCGCCCGGCTCGGACTCGGTCTTCTACAGCGAGGCCGACGGCAATGCGGCTAGCACGGAGCAGGGCCATTGCCTGCACTGCGGCAAGGAGATGGAGGGCAAGCAGCACAACAACACAGTCAGCGAACTGGCCGGCGACTCCGTCGAGTCCATACCCTACATCGAACAGGAGGCGGACATTGTGAAGCCGCCCTCTGATTTCGCCGACTCGCCGGTGACCACGAAGACCACCCAGCGGCTGTACAAGAAGATGGATAAACGCTTTCGCTCCGAGGAGCGATACCATGGCGAACGGGGCAGACACTACAAGACCAGGCAGGAGAACATACGCGCCAAGGTGAGTTATGCGGGAGAATGGGAGCCAGCTGGAAAGAGAGAGGGGGTAAATTCAAGGGAAAAAGAGAGAGAGAAAATGGAGAGAAAAAGAGAGAAAAAAGAGAACGTCTATTATCGGCACGCACCAGATAAGATTCCCTCGTAGACATATTTTTTATACGAAATCTTTATTTCTGATCAATTGTTCCTATAAGCTTCACGATCTGAGATGATTGTCCAGACATGTTAGTAGAATAGGTCTTGACAGATCTTCCAAAAAGGAACTCAGTTTACGACCGATTTTCCCAATAGAGTTATATCAGATATTATTCAGATGTTGATCAAATGTTACTCATATGTAAAAAGAATGGTAGAACTCGTAATTGCCTACCTTGATTAGGATACATTCATTCATTTTTGACCGATCTTTCTATATAATAATGCTCCGACTTGTCCGATTTCGATATATATAGCGCCCGCAGCAGAAAGAACAGCCTGTGCAAAGTTTCATGCCGATAGCTTCAAGAATGAGCGATTTTGAAATCAACTGGGCTGTTAATACTCATCAAGAATGTGTATGTATTTATTTATTTTTATTTATTATTTATTATTTATATTTATTTATTTATTTATTTACTTATTTACTTATTATTTATTATTTATTTATTTTCTTTTGTTTTTATATGTGCTTTACATATTTTATAACCAAATCTCTGCAAGACTAACAAAATGTGTATTAACCTTGATTTCCCTTCCGATTCTGTGCAGAGCGAGGAACGTGGCCGCGCGCCTAGTCTGCCCAATACACCCATACTGCGACCCGCCGGCTCGAGTCCCTGCGTACTGCCCGATATCAATACGGAACAGAGTCAGCATATCATCTATAAAGGTCACTACGATGCGGGTCGCTACACGCGCCTAACCGACGATGATCTGTGGACGCAACTGGATCACCAGTGCTTCGGTAGGTTCTCTTTTCTCTAGTTCATTTTCAAGCCCATTAATTTGAAAGTCGTAGATCGTTCCTTCGCAGATCGTTCCCGCGAGCGTCGCGCTTCCACCGAGTCGGAGAGGGGCTTCCATGCCAAGTATCAGGTGATCTTGCATCGTCTGGTTCAGCGTCGCTGCACACTCGAAATGTATCATCGCCAGAAGCACAACAACTTCCGTAAGTGTGCGATGCACAGGGAACACCCTGTATGGTTTTCTATATTTGGCACAACGTGCGCGTTGAATTGTAATAAAAGAGCCACGAGAGAGCGCTTTTTGTGCCCTAACAAAGAGTATTCCAATTATATCAAGAAATTTGTCACGCACAGACCACGTAGAAGATTTTTCTATGCAACTTATAGAATCTCCAAGTTTCGCTAGAAATGAATTGTCTTCTAATATTTATATAAAATATTCAAAATCCCTAAACATGTAAGAAACTTTTAATCAAAATTAATTGGAAAATATTATTTAAACACCTCTAAGCTTCAAAATTCGGACCCAAACAGAAAACTATATGGCCAAAATCTTGTACTATGTATAGCCTCCATTTAATTTTGGAAATTTGCAAAAGTTTTCAATGGCATAAATTTTCAAAAAATTTATAGTTCTTAAAATAATCTTTTAAAAATGTAAAGATTTTTCACGTGACTATTTCGAAGGGTATTAAAGTTTCGGCATTCACCCGCTTGTTCACGCCACTTTCCTTATGATAGTGGGTCGGTGGCGCTCTGACTTTTCATGACCGGCACTTGGCATACGAAAAAAGTAAAAAGCGGAAAAAAAATAGTTTTTTATGTTTGATTCTGTTATCGAAAATAGTTGCGATGCGTGCTTTGTTGTGTGCCGATGCGACGGAGCGAACGCCTTTCGATCGGATCTCGTTATAATCAAATGTGAAAAGTGCAAATTCTGCCGCGTCCCAAATTTCAGTTCCAAGTTTTCAAGGCGATTGTCGATCGTCAGCGCTAAAAAAAAGTACACATATTTACACAATAATTAATCCAAATGATTGGTGGGTAAACAAAAAATTCGCATTTCACATGCCAAGCGCTGGGGCCTTAAATTGTATTTTCCAAATGCCACAGAATTAATATCGTCGAATTCGGCGCCAGATTCGGTGCGCCGTAAGCTTGAGGAGGTCTTGAAGCTAATGCTCTTGGTATGGGCACGTGAGAGTTTCGTCATATCAACGCTCAGCAATGGCGCGCACGGTAATGTGTCCGGAAATAAAAGCACATAAATCACATCTCGCACAGATCTGTAGATGAGCCTATGATATATATATCTTTTATCTGTTTCCCTACATATCTTTTAAATTGTTTCCCTCGCACAGGCGTGGACAAGACGGTGGTCGTGAAGAGCGATTCGGGTGAGTTTGGCTTTCGCATACACGGCTCCAAGCCGGTGGTGGTGGCTGCCATTGAGCCGGACACGCCGGCGGAGAGCTCCGGCCTGGAAGTTGGCGACATTATCATATCGGTGAATGGCGTCCAAGTGCTGGACAAGCATCACACGGAGGTGGTCAAGATAGCGCACGATGGCTGTGAGAAGCTGGAGCTGCAAGTAGCCCGCACAATTGGCGTGCTCATGCACCAGCAACTGGAGCCGCCCAGTCAGCCCATCTTCAGCGGTTACCTGTGGCGGCAGAGCGGCCAGGCGAAAGGTGCTCCCAATACCAAGAAGTGGGTGCGACGCTGGTTCTCGCTGCGCCCAGACAACTGTCTGTACTACTACAAAACGGAAGATGTAAGTCACTCAAATACACATATCAATATAATTCCCAACTAGTTTTCGAAATAATACCTACGAGAACAATTTAGACCAGCATATTTATGTCTTATATCACACATTATGGGAAAAATATTTGTAGTTAAATATGCAAACTATATTTTGTGATATATGACCATTTATTCATTATTGTATATATCATTCTCGTTGTTCCTATGATACTTGCGATTTCAAAGTTAGTTTTTCAACTAGTTCTCAATTTTTTGAGCTTCCTTACGACCACACAGAGAATATTTTATTGCAATGATGAAATGGTATCTTTCCTTCCTAGGAAAGTCTAGAAAATATTAGATATTTTTAAAATCGAACAAGCTATAGATTCACCTCTAATCTATAATTATAAAGCATATAATTTTAAAAATACAAAATATTTTTTAAAACTTTTTTTCAAAAGATACGGAACTAGATTTTGAGCTTCTTAGATAATGAATACAGCTAAATATATTAAAGAACCCATTTAGTATTTGGCGTAGTTTGTTAAAGTCTTAAATTTCGCTACAGCTTACAATATAAATTCATGTATTAAAATAAAAACACGTGCAAGATATTTTTAGATAATAACGAACTAATTCTGTTCATGAAAGTTTTCAATAAATTATCATAATCTTGATCATAGTTTTCAGCACTTTAGCTCAAAAGCTTTTTACTTTTTAATTTAATCCTTTAACAAAAGAAGTTAGATATTTGAAGAACAAAGAAGATAGATTTCTTAATAATCGATCATTAGGAAACTAAGCAGAGGACTTATAACTAATGACAAGTGAGTCAGTTGAGTTTATTAAGATATCAAAAATAAAACTGACTCAATTCGTTTATGTCAACTAATTAATTTAAAACTTAAAATGCTGTTAGTTAAAGTAATTAACGTAATGGAACAGTCTGTTATTAGCAACTGTTAGAGTAAAATATTACAGCTTACAAATATTGTTTAAAAATGTTATTTCAAATTTCTTTTAATAGGATTCTCAGCCCGTGGGTGCCATGATAATGGCCAAGCATACTGTGGACTTGTGCCCCCTTGATATAGGCAAGCCGTATGCCTTTAAAGTGGACTCTGGCGAGGGCATACCCATGTATGTGGCCGCTGACTCCGAGGAACTGGCCAGCAGATGGTTAAATTTGCTGCGCCAAGCGGCCACACAGGATAATCAGTGGCTGGACAAAAGGTTGGGGGACATTGATCTTCCAACTCTCTTACTCACTCTCTCTCTCTCTCTCGCTCTCACTCTCTCTCTCATATCTCTCCCTTGCAGTGCCCGCTGTCTGTACCAGAGCCCCGGCAACATTGTGCGACCCGATTGCTTTGGCCATTTGCTCAAATTGGGCTCAAGGTGGTGCGGCTGGTCGAAACGCTATTGTGTACTTAAGGATGCCTGCCTCTATTTTTATCAAGATTCAAATAGCAAAAGTGCATTCGGTGAGTCACAAGACAGACCATAAAGAAGTCTGCTCTAGAATGGTCTAGTTAAGAGTAATAGGCTTAGAGATACCCTGTAGCCCGAAACTAATGCTAAACAAGTCCTGCATCAAAAATACGTTCGAATACAGAAAAGTGCAGCTGAAATTCAAATTATAAAAAAGAAGCAAAAGGTTTTTTAAGACCAAACAAGATCTGATTGGGCTATGATCAGCCCCAAAAGTCTCTAGATTATCATACCCATGTTAAATAATTTTTGGGTTACAGGGTATTCTAGCAAATAAACAGACAGCAGACGCATGCAGCTAATTAATTAACATTTTGTGAATCAATTTGGTTTTCGTCTAGGCATGGCCTGTTTGCACGGCTACAAAGTGGCCTCGATGTCCACGAATGCGTCCGGCAAGAAGAACTCATTCGAGATAATACCACCAGAAGCGAAACTGCGTCATTATTATTTTTGCACCGAAAGCGAAATGGATAAAAAGCGGTAAGATCTCTCAACATTTGTTTTGATTACCTTTGCAAAAAAACTCTTGTAATTTGCAGTTGGATATCCGCACTGGAGTACTCGATTGATCGGTGGATCAAGTCCGGGTAACTAAGGTTAAAAACACGCTCCAGATCGGCGTTCAGTAGCCGACACAAGCGTCGTAGCTTTAGCTACTTTATGGATTAGTTAACGTCTGCAGTTCATATATTTTGGACATTAGTACGGGTACTAGGTACTACCAACTAGCTCTTAAGCAAAAACGACAACAACAGCAACAACAAACACAAATTATATAGAAAATAGTCCAGAGTTTTTTATAGCTACTAAGACAAGGAATTTAGGCAGTCAATCGTCGAATCGGGGGCTTAAAACTATTTTGAAGTGCGCATACAAATTGCAATATACCATAGAGAAATTTTGGTGTGTATTCTTGTTATATAATTATTATAGCTTATGTTTAGTGAGGTTGTCTTGTTATACACACATTCACACACACACACACACACACACACACACACACACACACATGCACATACACACCATATATACATGCATAATGTAGCGTATGATATAGTACTTATATATATATAGTCATATAGCAGACCAACATATTGTCTAAAGTGTGTTTGAGTTGAAAACAAAATTCGTTAGGCTTAATCGATTGAGAGATAATTAGGTATTCAAAGGCTCAACCACATGGCAATTGATATCCATGTTAGACGGGTATCTAAACAGTGAGATAATATTTACAAGATTGCAGATTAAATTTTTGGGGAGGAAAACAAAAAACTACTCATGACCAATTTCACAGACATCCAGCAGATAATAGGAAACTTATCATGAAAGGGGTACTAGATATATATAGGCTGTATTAGAAAGGTTTAATATTTGAATGTTTAGTTCCGCACTAGATACAAAATTATTGCATGTTATATACGGTTTTCGTCCCTACAACAATATGAGGAATATGAAAAACAAACAAGATGGTTTATTAGTTAGACACAATTATTATTGATATGTATAGCTTTTTTATAAACATTAAAATCGGGGGGAGAAAGTGTATCACATTGTAGCTAAGCTTAGTTTTTTGATAGATTGAGTTTTTTGGGATGGCCATTAAGTTTTCGAGACACAATAATAATATGGCAAATACTTTATGAGTACATTGAATACTTCACAATCCAGTAGTTACTTTGTCATATATGCGATATATGATCTTTAAATATGCTGATTTCCCTTCTTTTGTGGATCAGTGTGTGCATATTGAGTGCAATTTATTTTGTTAGTGTTACACACACACACATAAACACACACACGCACACACGTATATATATTTTATATATTTTAAATAGAGATATCCAATTATTGAGTGTGTGCCGATTCATTTAGATAATACTTTATTATATATATTATACATGACAGCGTGACAGCCAGTTTTATGTTATGTGGAAAATGTGAGCAAACCATTAAAAAAGAAAAAACAAATACCGAAAAATAAAAACACTAAATAAGAGCTTTAATTATTAAATAAAGAATATACCAAGAACAATTGTGAAATTGTGCCACATTTTAATTCAAGCGAGAGGTTATAGAATTATGCAAGCTGGAATTTTAGATGAAATCGCTTTTAATCTGACTGCTAAACTTGGCTGCAAATGCAACAGCCTTTAATCTGACTGCTAAACAAGGCTGCAAATCCAACATATATTTTCGATGATCTGCTTCACAGTTCAACACAGTGTCTGGAGCTAAGGTGTGGTACGTGAGCCTGATATTCTTTATTCCATATAAGCCCATCGTCAAATTTCCTTCCGATTTGATTTGTTGTATTCAAAATATCGTTAACCCTACTCAAAACTAAAAAATGCTGCAAAAGTATTTTCGCATATTCAAAAAATAATTGTTAATATTATTGAAACAAATTTTGTCTAACATGTGGTTCGATTATACCCTTGTTTAGGTTCGGCTTTGCTTTATCTAATTTATCCGATTCCAGAATCGGTTCATGTTAAATAATAAGCTGGAAGTCCGATCTCAAACCGGTTCGGTTCTAACCAGGTTTGATCTCTTGCGATCGACTGTATTTTAGTTAATACTTTAATCTATGCAAAATATAATTTTACAACAAGTTCAGTAGAATTGGCCTTCCTTCTAAGGATAGCCGTTCCCATGTCTAAGACTATGCCAATGACAAATGTGTAAATTGTGGTACTGCTGACAGCTTGAGGGCATTGAAACGGGCCTAAACATCATTAATTAGGCTCAATGATGCAACGATCTCGGGTCCTACCTGCAACTGCAACTATCCGTCTGCCACTTTGCCCCTGGACCAATCCGTCAGGCTCTAAACGCAAACGAAGCATTTCGAATGCGATCAATGAACCTGTCAGCCTCGACTCGCCACTCGCCACTCGCGACTCTCGACTCCGGCTCTAGCTGCACGGTTGTTTAACACAAATTTTGAGTAATTTATTTCAGATCGTAAAGAGCTGCAAAATATGCACACACGGCAGCCGGCACCGAGAAGTCAACGACTAGCATAACAATTCGCTCGCCCTATGGGACTGCTACCGTTTTTGTTTTTTGTCTGCCTCCAGAGCTGCCCCTGCCCCTACCTCTGCCCCTGCCGCTGTCTCAGTGTGTCTATTCGGGCCTCTACCTTGTGCTGCATGCAACTTGCCACTGCTCTCGGATTCAAGTCACGGCGTTGACAACAACAACAACAATAACAATTTAGTTCCACTGTGCGGCCCATGCCACTGCCTTAATTATCTCTTCTTTTCTCAGTCTCGCAGTCTGAGCCTTTTCTTTGTATTTCTTCTGCTGCTTCTTATATTGTTTCTTTGATTTTATTTCTTGGATTTTCTTTGCCACTTTTGAAACAGTTGGTGGCTCTTCATCATCATCATCAGCAGCATCATCATCATCATCGTGACCAGCATCATCAACATCATCTAGGCGTTTTCGTCAAACGTAACTCCCTCTCGGTGGGACCACAGACTCTGCAGTGGCAGCTCGCCAAGACCCTGACTGTGTTTCGTTTTTTTTCCTCTTAATACTTAGCCGCATACCTTTGTTGTTTTACATGTGCGGGAGAAAAGGTTGCCAGACTGTTGAACCATCAACCTGTTGGAATCGTGGAAAACCTACATACTTATGCACAAGTAATCAGGCATCTAAGTACAGGTACTCTTTGGGCAAATATATACTCAAGTTGCTTTTAAAGCCAAACTCTAAATCTTTTAATGCAGAGGATATTGCAACCATATCTAAATCTTTTATCTTTTATAGAACACGTTTCATTTTTAATTGTTTCTGTTATATAAATAAACTAGTAATAAATAAAGTATAGATTCTAAACAAATCTTATAATAGTGAACTTATATGGAACAAAGGATTTAATAATACAGGTAATTTGTGTGTGTGTGGGCGTGTTTGTGTGTGTGTGTGTTAGTGTATGCATGCAGGTATGTATGCATTTATGTATATATGCATGCATGTACGTTTGTTTCCTAATACCAAACGTAGACCAAGCTTATTTGACGCTGTGCTGCAAATTTAAATAAAACGAATTTCTACAAAGTGCTCTCCTCCTCGATTCTCAAGAATTCAAGTAGGCTCTGCAGTTTTTCATGCTTAGCTAGTAGTGTAGTGTTTTTTTTTTGTATATTTCGTTGTTTTTTCTTTGTATGTCTGTGTGTACATTTATATGTATATGTGTATACATTTATATGTATATGTGTATATATATGTAAGTGTGTATGTATGTGTGTATGTATGTATGTATGTATGTACGTATGTACGTATGTACGTATGTATGTATGTATGTATGTATGTATGTATGTATGTATGTATGTATGTATGTATGTATGTATGTACATATGTATGTATGTATGTATGTATGTATGTACATATGTATGTATATATATATGTATGTATGTATGTATAATTGTATGTACATATGTATGCATGTGTGTGTGTGTGTATGTATGCATGTATGCATGTATGTACATATATATGTATACCTGTATGTACATATGTATGTACATATGCATGTACTCATGTATGTATGTATACAAACAAACATGCATACATATACAAACAAACATGCATACATGTGTATACAAACTTAAAACTTCGCCCTAAAAATCTTTGAATCGGATTTTCCCCCGAGGAAGCTTGGATTCTACGAAAAGTGTGAAACACGCCTCAAATGATTTTTTGAAATAGACTATTTTTTAAGTAAATTTTCCAATAGGCGAATAAAGTTTTGCAAAGAATTATTATGGTGAAATTTAAGTAGCAAAATAGAAGCTATTGGGAGTATTACCTGAAATCTTATTTTTTCTCGCAGAGGCTATTAGAATTAATAATTAAACGAACCTTTACGATATATCTAACCTCTAGAGTGAGCATATATTTGTAATTTGTATTTCTTTGATATATTAAATCATATAATTGTATTTTTTCCAATATAGGAAATACCTTTGGATACTAAGAGCCAATAATACAAATAGAGTACTTAGAAATGTAATTTTCAATAATGTCCCCCCAGCTCTTACGACTCACAAATCATACCCTACCACCATATCATATTAGGTTCGAGTCCCCCAAGCCGCAAGCGGCCACCGCAGTTACTCCCTCGCGCATTGGAAACGTACCGAGCTGAATGCAGTCTGGCAACCCGTGAGTTTGTTCGTCTACCCTCGAAAACGGTAAGCAGTCGGTAAACAGGTAGCTCTCTAACTGACAATAACTCGTCGTACGTATGCACGTTCCGTGTGTCTGTCCGCTCAGTCTGGCTGTCCGCAGCGTGCGACTGGCGGTCGGTTTGCCAGTTGCTTTTGTTGTTGTTGTTTTCTCACTTGGCTGGTTTCGAGCGCGATCTCTCTCTCTCTCTCTCTCGCTACTCGCTGCGGCTTACTCTCTCGCTGCAGCACTCTGCGAGTCGCTCTCTTCGAACGACGACGACGACGACAGCGGCTCGGCAATATTGGATTAGTCTTCGAGAGTTGATCGTAGCTGACGCACCTGCGCGCGGATCGTGGCTACAGTAACACAGTGGAATTGCATACGTATGTGTGTGTGTGTTGTGTATCTGTGAGATACATGTGTATATTGGGGGAAAAATGCAGGCACAGTGAACTTGTTGCAACGTCGCAACCGAACCCGCTCACCGATCGCCGATCGCCTCTTGCTGAAAAGCGCTTTTCAGTGGCGTGTCGTAGTGTGTGTGCGTGTGTGTGTGTGCGCGTGAGTATGTGTGTGTGAGCGTGTGTGTGGGTAGAGTTTGGGACTACTTGAGGAGCGAATTGGTAGCTGCACTGGCTTCAGCTCCTATTTCAAACAAAATGTAGAAAAACACATTTCAGCTGCCGTATCTCGTTTGTGGCTTGGCTCGTTCGTTCGTTCGGCTGAGTTTAGTTCGGTTTCAGTTCGGTTCGGTTTGGCTTGGTTCCCTCGGCTCGGTTGGATCGATCGCTCGTTTTGCTGGCGGTTGCTTTCGTACGTGGTTTGGTTTTGTTTTTTTTTTTTCCTCTACGTGGTTTGTGGTAGCCGCCGCTGCTGCTGTTGCTCCCGTAACACCCGCGACCGCGCGCGACTGATCGTGCCGTGATTGTGTCGCGCATACATCTGTAAGATACATTTGTATCTATGTGTGTGTGTGTGTGTGTGTGTTGTACTACGTGTGCGTGTATCTAAACTTATTGTATACATTTTGCAAGCCAGCCGATTGGATATTTCATGTTATCTCAACTTAAAAACCAATTGTAGCATATATGGAAAATTCTTTTTTCAAATTCCTAATCTAAAATATTGTTTGCCTTCTAGAAATCACAAAAAGTTTAACACAAAAGTGCCACAAAAAAGCACAGAGAAAGATATAGAAAAGGAAAAGAGAGAAAAGAAAAAAAAACTAAATAAACTAAAACTTGTTCAAAATACTTGGAATACTGGCCAAGCCAAGCTTGAAAGAGCCTCAGGCGCTCTGCGCACAGCCATCAAAATTGTTTACAGGTAAGCTACACACGCCCCGAGCTGGCAACACCCCCAACCAAAAAAACACTCACGAAAAAAAAAAAAAACAAAAGATTCCACAAAAAAATTCCGCAGCTCAAATTTTTTTTTAGGGTCTAGCTAATTATTTTCTTTTGATTTTCGCTATGGCCAAAAGCAAATCACAGCGAGTCGCAGCCACAGCGAGTGGGCCCAAAGAGAGCGCAAGTCAGAGACTGAGAGAGAGAGAGTAAGAGAGGGAGAGAGACGTGACTATGGCGAGTAGCAAAGTAAATAAAAAATACGCTGACTGCTAAAACCTGCTCCAAGCGCGCACACACACAGACACACACACACATATTGCGTTGTAGCTCAACGTTGGAGGCTCCGGCCACAGTTGGCGGTTTTTTGGGCGACTGGCGGCGGCTGCCGCAGCGGCTTCCACTACAACTGCATGTGCCACTGTCATTGCCACCGAACTCAGTGTGGTGCCTGGCTGCCTGCCTGCCAGGCTGGCTGGCTGCGTTCCATTGACAGGCAAGCAGGCGGCCTGGCGCTCGGCTGGGCTGCGGCTGACTCTGACTTGGGGTTCGACTCCAGCTCGAAGGTTCGAGCTTGGAATTTTTTTTCTTACCTTTTTCGTTGTTGTTGTTGGCCGTAAACCAGTTCACTTGTAGCCAGTGCCAGTGGCCAGCGGCTCTCAGCCTCAGCCGCAGTTTCAGCAGCTCTCGACGTGCTCAATTTGAATCCGGTTTTTTTGGACTTGGTCGTCGTCGTCGTCGGCGTCTTGGCCGTTGCCAGCTTGGCTTGCCGCGCGCTTTAATTGTTCAGAACGTGTGTCCAAAGAGGAAACGCAATTGCCGCAAGCTTCTGTTGGGGCTTGGGGTTTGGGGTTTGGGCTTTCGGTTACCATATACCATCATCTGGCTCTGCCATCTACATCGCTCCAGCATCTTTGTGCTTATTTTCCTTTGATTTCTTTTAAATGCTTTAGTTTTTTTTTTTTTTGCTTCAAAACGCCTCCCGCGCTCCCACAGTCTCGTTTTTCATTTATTTTATTTTATTTTTTTTTTGTGCTTTAGATGTGGCATGGGGTATTGGAGATTTTGGTGTTCGGGTTCCATTCGCTGCGGTTCTATAGAGCCATTGGCTTTTGTTGCGCTCGACTGGAGCTCGAGCTCGAGCTGGAGCTGGAGCTGAAGCTGGAGCTGAAGCGCTGGAAACTCTTTGAATTTTCATCATTGTTTGTTTATAGGCAATTTGGTTTGCGCTCTGGGTTCCTACTTTTTAGCATAAGAATAGGCACATAAAAATTTATTGCATTCGGTATATTTCTGGGTGGGTTTTTTTCATTCTTTGTGGTATCAAATTTAATATCAGTGCAACGGTAGGGAAATGGTTTTTTGGGCTGAAAATAACGCTCAATAAAAACGAAATTAATTAAATCCGAAAAAACAAATTAAAAGCATCTAAAAGTTTAGTCTTACAAAAGATAAGCACTTAACGCTGGCCCATAAAGCTAGAAAAACAATGGGACATACAATTGGCCATAAAAGGCGCAGCTTTTTTGTCGCCCCGCCACGCCCATTTGGCACGTGTGTCTTAATGTTTACGATCGGTTTTGATGATGAAATTAAATTCTATACATTAGAATATGAATTCACCTGTGTGGGGAGAGCAACGTTTGAATAATTAACAGATCTGGATTACGTCCATCCTCAAAAAGAAGAGAGATATATATCTAGGCACACAAGAGATCTGCTCAGTCTAAGGTAGCCGGTGATTATGAGTTATTGACAGTCCATGCACAAAAGAACTGAAGAACTCCATTTCTTGAAGAGTATTGTCCAGATTGAAAAGTCAGAAGAAGCGTAAAATACGATCGAGTTAAGAGGATTAGCTGGCTGAGCAGAGCAGAGCAGCAGATTCTGAGACTTTAAAGGGAAAGAACCACTTTTTACACATTTCAGGTAAACTCGTAAATTCAGAGATTACAATAAATTATAAGAATTTGTAGTAAGAGCAAAAGATAAGAGAAAGATATTTAAGATGGTTAAAATAAATTTTTAAATCAGAGTAAATATCGAGTTAGTAAGATTTCTTTTGGCTTAAATTTAGTTAGTGTCTATATTTAGGCTAGTCCCGCAAAGCTCTCAATTGGCCTATCAAAATTATTGGCAGATTTTGCCCTTTCAAAATCTCAAATATTTACCTTTTTATGCTTTCTGGATAATATTTTGTAGTGGGTAAAATTTCCGAAATTGCATATAAAGTAAATCTTGTTAAAAATAAACAACTTGTTCTTATGTTTGTTTCAAATTAAGATTTATTTTAAAAACTTTTCCAAATTTTTATAAAAAAATAAACGACCATCAATAATTGGATCGATAGACTTGTTGAACCTAGCTAGTTTTGAAATACAAATATATATCTACTTTATAACTATTTAAGACAAACCAAATAATACAGTCCGATACAAGCTTTATATGCTTAAATTTAATATTTGATAAAACAACAAATTAAGCAAATTTGTTGTTTTATTTATATGTATCTATATACGATATAAACTTAATATCTTGCGATTCGCTTGCTTGTGCTGGAAATGTTCTTGCCAATCTCGAACTAGTTTAGTTAACTTTTGCGTCTTCAACGAAACGAACCCATCAATTTGGCTAGTTGTGGACCAGTTTTTGTGCAGCCTCGCTTAGCTCCGCTTGATCATAATAATTATAAATTATGTTTTTCAATTAAAGTGAACAACCTTAGTAATTTATAGAACAGTTCGCAGCCAGCTGCATTTCGAACCCATAAAACTTCATTAGCAGTTTCATGAGCAGCTCGAAAAAAGTAAAATGCATGCAACATGGCTGCAGAATTAGCAAAGCTTTTAAATTAATGACCGCGCACTTACACACAACACACACACACGCACACACATCTACTGATGTGGGGTATGTGTAAATCCCATAGATATTAATCAAGAAATTATAGACACGCCGGTGGAGCAGGTATCCAGGCACTAGCTGGAAAACTACAAGCGCTGATGATTATGGCTAGAGATTTTAATAGCTACGACTATTATCTGAGAGCTCCGGCCGCGGCCAAAGGGTTGTCAGATTAACGCAAACGCAAACGCAGCAGAATGCAGGCAACGGCTGTAATTACAAGTTGTATCTTTAACTTTTATTTCGTAATACCCTGTTGCTCTGGTTAGGCAAGGGGTATTATGTTTCCGTGCAAGTGTATGCCATAGCCAAAAGGAAAAACTACAAGTTCGTAAAATTTCCTGATCTGCAGCAATAGCAGAGTCGATCTCTTCGATCTCGGATAGTATAAGAGCTAAGGACTTGAAATATGGAAGGCAGCTTTTCCTTCAAAGGAGCTGATCAAGTTTATTTATAATCATCAAAAGCCTTACAAAAATCGGTTTTAAGATTAGAATTCTAGAACACATCTCGCAGCTCCAAATTTCTCTGGATAGTTTCTGCCATTCCTAGCAAATTCGAAACTCGTTCATTTTAGTTACAGGGTATCTGTCTCTCGAGCCCTTTCGACTGGAGCACTCTGATTTTTTATTTTATTTTTTATTTTCTCCTTTTTTTTTTTTTGGTTGATTATTAGCTACCTTCGCTGTGGCGGCGAGCCTGGCCCGAAGGGATTAAAACTGAGCACACACACTCGCACATGCTGACCCTTTCTTGTCGTGTGTTGTTTGTTGTTGTTGCTGTTGTTGTTGTCGCTTGTTGTTTTGTAAGCAAACTGAAGTAGTACGCTAAGCGTCTTGGTCCAAGCCCAAGATACGAGCCACACATATTGGACAAAACTTCGTCTCGTTTCTATACAAATATTAAATCCCTCTGCGCATGTGTTTTTTTCTTGTATCTGTGTGTTGCCCACAGCTGTGTGTGTGTGTGTTTTTTTTCTTCTGCTGTTTTTTTTTTTTTTTATCAACTGCTTTGAACCTTTTTCCACTGGGTCTACGCGTCTGCTGCGTCTCTTTGGCTGATTGTTTACACAAAGCCAGACCCAGACTCGGGCCCAGAGCAGGCAGCGAAAAGTGGCAGCCAAATTGCTCCTCGATATCTTTTATTTTCTTTGCCAGTAGTTGTTGTTGTTGCTGCTGTTGTTGTTGTTGTTGTTGTTGTTGTTGTTTCTCATACACTTTTTTTTTTTATTATATGTATACACACATTTAAGCCTTTGGCTTCATTTGCTGGGCAACCGTTTGCGCAAACGTTTCGCCTGTATCTGTGTGTGTGTGTGCGTGTGTATCTGTATCTCTATATTGTATCTGAAAGTACACAGCTCTCTCTCTCTCTCTCTCTCTCTCTCTCTGTCTGTTCACATCTCCTTCGCATGTCTAGCTGGCCTGCTCTTTAGCCACAACTACGGCAAGTACGTGCAACGTTGTCGACGACTTCGCATTTTGCTGATGATGTCCATTATTTACATTAATTTTATTTGTTTTTCTTATTTGGCTTGACGTTTCAAAAGTGCCGATGTTTCAAAAGATAATGAACGCCGGATCGCAATTGTGTGCACAGACAGGGACAGACCGAGAGGGTCGACAGTTCGGACAGCTCGGACAGTTTAGACAGTTAAACAGACACCGAGCTCCAGTCATAAATGCATAAGTGTGTGGCAAGAAGCAGAAGAAAGAGTATAAACCTAGAAAGAAAGAAAAAAAATGAAAATAAATAAAATTAAATACGACAACGAAAAACCCCAAAACGGGTTACCTTTTTTCTCGAGGCTAGCCACAGATACTACGTGACGCTGCGGTGTGAGGTGTGATATATCTATCTGACTGTTCAGTTGGGGGCGACTTATAGAGCGATCGAATTAAGATCAGTTGGTCAAGCACTAAAAGGCAAATGTGTTGGGCAAACTATATTCGAAATGGTTATTAGGGTTATAAAGGAAAACCATATTAAAATATGATATGGCAATATGATAAAAATTCACTTTTTTCATTAACAGAAACTTATACTAATGTTAAACGAAAAAAAACATTATGTAAATGCTTATAACATTATGTATAACATAAACATTTCTTAAAAAAGTTTCTTCAGTTTTTCTTTAACAGATTAAAATGTTGTTAGTCTTTATAAGTTATTCAGTTTATATATATGTCCATTTTATATATATATATATATATATATATATATATATATTCAGGGTTATATGTGAAGTAGGCTTATTGAATCGATAGATTTGATAGAGAAAGGGAGCAATATCCGACACACAATAATTTTTTAGAATATACGTATCTTCATGCACAGAATCTTAGTATGTTTTAGAAGTGTAAAGAATTGTATAAAATGGGCTTAAAAGGGGAAATTAACTTAAAGTATAGTTTCCACTTCTATATTTTTAAATATTTTAATACACTTTATTATAAATAATATTTCGTTGAAAAAAGTTAAGTTGAAGTATTCCAATGCAGTACACAATTAACAATTGAAACTTTCTAAATCCAGAATCGTTTGCACCAATTTGATTTTATTTATCAGTTTCTTTTGTAATTTTCCATTATTTAATATTTGTCTTTCAGTTTTTCTTTTAGTTTTTTTTTGTTTGTTTCTATCAAAGTTTTTGAAAATATTTTTTTTAATAAAATATTTGTATATCATCATCCGCTTATAAACTCTCTGAAGGAATATTAAAGGAATAGTTGTTAAATTTAAGGTATTGCAGCCTTACAATCATAAATCATAATATAATCGGAAATAATTATTCATTACAACTGGAAGCAGACATGTCAGCCGTGCAGTAAACTCCATTCAAGTATTTGCAGATTTGCAAATTAAATTCAACGTTTAACTAAATTGTGTAGTCAAGTTGTGAGTTTCACTTTAATCAAATCAAGTTGTCAATAGAATAGATACAACTTTTCCAGCCTGACCAACCCCACTTGCTTTTCTCTCTCTCTGTCGAAAAAGTCCTATGTCATTTCTAATCAGACAGTGCCATAAACTATCTATCTTAGTTGCACAGATCTAATCTGACAGGCACACAAACAGCTAAACCACATCTCTGGGGCACGTGCATGGCGCAGCAGCAGTTGCCACAGCGGATCCCAACAAATACGGCGATGATGCAGCAGTTACAACTATCTACTTATCATGTCAGACAGGCGGAAAAAAAAACCCAAATGCAGAATAACTTAAAAATCACGACGTGAAAAACTTATTTCAAGGCGCGCAACCAACAGTCACAAGTCGCGAGAACATTTCCAGCCAAATGATAAGCAAAACTGTCATTTCATGGGCGGGTAGTCAGAGGGGGTCGCTCGGTCGGTCGGAGGGGGTTATGTTGTTGTTTTTACGCAACTGGTTCTTTATGATCGATCCGGCGACAATATGAGCGTCATTATCATTATCAGCATTACTTTGTACACTCCACACTCGTTAGCTTCTGCATCTTCTCGCTATTAACGCGATGATCGAGTCGCCCCCCCTTCCCTCCTCCTCCACGGACCGAGTCAGAAGCTGAAGCTCCTGTTGCGTAAATCCAGTAAGCAGTCGCTCGGGTCGCTTCTCGCTGCTCACTGCTCGCTTCTCATTGCTCGTGCCCGGTCTGGGGCTCGGCTACCGAGTCAAGGCTTGCCTAACTGACTGACTGACTGCCGTTTAGTTCGCTTAGGCTACCAGTTGCATTTGTATGGCTGCCAAATGCCAGTATCTATGTGTATATGTGTCTGTGTGTATCTGTGTGTGTGTGTGTGTGTGCACTACTGTGTGTGCTGCCTCGCTGCCTGAGTCAGGCAGGTTTTCAGACGCACAATCTTATCTAACCTGGCAGCGTCGACAACTCCAACTGCGACGGCGACTCGTTTTAGTTCAGTTCAGTTTAGTTTCACTTGCCGCCGCCGCTGCTGATAAAACAAAAATACAACAAATAAATAAAAAAATATAACAAAAATTCGTTTAAAAAACTTAACCAGCCAAAAAATAATCTAAAAAAGTGAATTGGTAAATGGATATACCCTATAGCCGAATATGTGCTTTTGTTTAATACTCAAAAAAAGGAAATACCTAAAGAAAACTCGGCTCTCTTCTGCTTCTTACAATTTCAATAATTAGTAAACAACTCAATAATTTAAAAACAATTAAATAAATGAAAAAAACACATTATTTAAAAAAGTGATTTGGATAAAACGAGAATCAAGTTATATGCAATTTAATATCAAATGTTTTGCCATTAATTCAAAATATGCTAATTTAATTTTTAGAGCTGTTTTGATTGTGAACATAATTATAAAGCACTTGCATGCTCTTTTTTATATCCTGTTCTTAAATATTATTTTGTTTTAAATTTAAAAGCATTCAAACGAACAATTGACAAGACACATTTTGGGGAATATTAATTATTATTTAAATAATGGCATAAATATTAAAAAATGTATTTTTTTTAACTTTAATGTGATTACTTTGACAAAAAATAAGAAAATAAACTTTAATAGATATTGAATGCTTGTTAGAAGAGTTGGTCAACTTTTAAGCTTTTATAGGTATTCTCAATAATTTATCACAAATTATTTATTATAAATTATAAAAGCATTTTTGACCAAATTTTTCATTTGAGACATTTTTCTTAAAATATGAAAATATTTATTCTAATAATATTTCTTGAGTATTAATGGATTCAACTACAATATATAAATTTATTTGCTTCAAAAATATAATAATTTTGAATTATTAGAATAAATTTTACTAAACATTCTAAAATATATGTCAAATAAAATACCAATGTATATACATATATTTATTTGTGTATATTAGGATTTTATTTGAAATATACTTCATTATATAGTAAAATCTGTTTTAATATGCAAAATATGTTCAAACTATTCATAGGGAAAAATAAATATTTTTTAATTAATTTATTTTACATTTCTATTGCAATATTCCTTGAGAGCTGAGATCGAAAACGTATAATTTATATCTTAAAGTTTTTGAAACATTGTTCGATTATATCATATTTGCCAACTTTAGCCCAATGTAGCTGTACTCCGATTCGCCCTATTTGTTGGCAGGGTATGCTAACGGGGCAAACAGAAAATATACTTTTTATTGGACTTGACGAGCAATTAAGATAAGCCCAATAGAGCCCCAATAAGCCGCAACAATTAACACAACATTTGACTAATTGTTATTTTTTCTCTCTCTCTATCCTCCTTTCTCTCTCTGTCTCGTTATCTCCAGCTGAAGGTCTGACGGCGATGTGAGTAGGCGCCAGCCCTCAATATGCCCACGGATAGCACAGCCAGCGAGGGCGGAGGCGCCATACCCATGCTGCGCGCCTCTCGCATGGATCAGTTCATGTCCACGGTGGCCGCAGTGGCTGCCGCGGCAAGCGGTGGCTCCGGCGGAAGTGGAGCCAGTGGCAACTCGGATGGGTCGGGCAGCGCCGGCGATTCGAGGAACTCATCGGCTAGCAGGATCTCGGCAGCGGCAGCTGCCTACGAAACACAATTGGCCTATCAGCAGCATCTGGCCGCGTCGGGGCTGCACGGCGGGCCGCACGGACCGGCGGGGCCGCCGCATCATCGCGAGATATCGGCCTTTGTGCCGGTGCTGCCGACGCGCCAGGCGCTGGAGGCGAAGGCGCGTGCCGGCAGCAACTCCAACTACGAGATCATCGCCATGATGGCCGACAAGCGCAAGGAGCTGGCGCTGCGCGAGGCCGCGGCCGCTGCTGCCATGCTGGGCCGCGGCGGTCCGCCGGGTGTGCCGCCACCAGGCGTGCCGCCACCCGGCGTGCTCTATGGGCCGCCACCACCACCGCCATATCTGACTGGACCGGGCCCCTCGCCCACGGGCGCCGGCAGTTTTCCATTTCCGCCGGGCGCGGCAACGGCCGCAGCACTCTTTCCGCCCGGCCTGGGGCCGGGCATGCACGCCGGCCTGGACAGGCGCCTGCTGCGGGCACCCGGTCGCGCCTCCAGGCCCAAGAAGCAGTTCATCTGCAAGTTCTGCAATCGCCAGTTCACCAAGTCCTACAACCTACTGATACACGAGCGCACGCACACGGACGAGCGGCCCTACTCCTGTGATATATGCGGCAAGGCTTTCCGGCGACAGGATCACTTGCGAGACCACAGGTGAGTGCGAGCGAGCAGCGGGTGACGGGTAGCGGGTGGTGCATCTCGCCAGTCACCTGGGCAACGACCAGGCAGAAGGCGTGTCTGCGCTCGTAATTGCTGCCATGCCTCAAGGCAGCAGCAGCAGCAGCAAGAAGAAGCAAAAACATGAAAAGTAAAAAAGTGGCGAAGGTGAAGCGAGTCAAAGCCAAAATACCCTGTAATGAGGTTCGAGTGGGATGTGACTAAGGAATCTGTGAAATAGGAGAGCCAGAAATAATTTGAAATACCCTGTAATGAGATTCCAGTGGGATGTGTCTAGGGAATGTGGGAGAAAGGAGCATCACAGTTCTTGTGGGTTTTATAAAATGAGTTCCAAAATAACTAATTGAAAAAGCTTTTGGTTCGATTTATTGATCTTTTAATAATATTTGAAAGGGTTTTCGACTTGGCATAGAAAATTCCTTGAGGTATTTGCGTTTTCGGCTCAAAACGAAATCTCCAAAGCAACTATTTAGAATGAAAACAGTTTTGAAGAAAAAGTGTTGATAAATTCCTATATGTAGATGGAATTTACACAGTTCCTAGTAGAATTTGGATTAGTATGATTAGATTTCAAATTAAGCGCGATTAAATTTAATTTGGGTAAATAGTCCCATTTTTGTTATTCACCTAAAAATAATTTCCAGCAAAATAACCAGCCAACAGCTCGACAAAATCAGTTGGCTCCGACTTTTAGCCAAGTTATGCGAAGTACATGCCGCAGAAGACAAAGTTAATTAACTTTGTTGGTTTTCAGTTGGATGGGGGGCAGCAATGAGGGGTGCGGTTACGGAGTACTCGATGCTCGATACCTACGTACTGAGTAGGTTGTATATGAGTGTGCGTGTGTGTGTGTGTGTGTGTGTGTTGGGCCTGTCCAAGATGCCCGGACTGTGTCTTTTGATCGTTCGGTTTCGGTCCATTTGTCGTTTGTTTGCTTTGCCGCGGGGCTAATTTCTCAGCAGCGGCAACGGGCCCAAAGAAGAGAAGACACCAAGAAGAATCTCGGTGCGCCTTGTAGCCGCCACCCGAGCAATGCCAGAGACGGGCCCAGACCCAAGCAGAACCGAGCTGAGAACCTGTTTTACATTTTTTTTTGTCTGAAAAGACGCAGCAGCTGCTGCTGCTGCTGCTGGTTGCTGCTGCTGCTGCTGCTGCTGCTGCTGCTGCTGCTGCTGCTGCTGCTGCTGCTGCTGCTGCTGCTGCTGCTGCTGGTCCAACAACAAGTGGACGCCATTTCAAAGATGGCTGCCATAAACATAAAATATATCAGCGCACTTTATCTGAGCGGACAGAGATAATATGCAGAGCAGAGATAACTGTCAACTTGAGTTGCCAGCTACCAGCTAATGGCCAGCCAGCTACCAAAAACGCCCACGCAATGAGCCAAGTCAATTAATGCCTCTTCCCCTCCCTCTCTCTCTCTGTCTCTCTCAGGTATATACACTCGAAGGAGAAGCCATTCAAGTGCACGGAATGCGGCAAGGGCTTCTGCCAGTCACGCACCCTCGCCGTGCACAAGATCCTGCATATGGAGGAGTCGCCGCACAAGTGTCCCGTGTGCAGTCGCAGCTTTAATCAGCGCTCGAACCTGAAGACCCATCTACTCACCCACACCGATCACAAGCCCTACGAGTGCTCCTCCTGCGGCAAGGTGTTTCGCCGCAACTGCGATCTGAGGCGACATGCGCTGACGCATGCCGTGGGCGAGGTCAACAGCGCCGACTATGTGGATGTGGGGGAGGAGGACGAGGCGCGGCAGCTGAGCGGCGATGAGGAGGACTCGCTGCTGGAGGTCGACTCGCCGCGCCAGTCGCCCGTCCACAATCTGAGCGGGCAGGCCGAGAAGGATGAGGCGGAGCGCATGCGTCTGAAGCGCAAGGCCACCAACAACAACAGCAGCAGCGCCAGCTATGAGCACGAGGACAGCGAAGAGGAGTTCGACGACTTCGACGAGGAGGAGGAGCTGCATGAAGCTGGCACCCTCGACCTGGCCGAGGATGAAGACCTGGAAGCGGAGACCGAGGAGGAAAAGGCCGAGGTGGCGCTGGTGGCTCGTTTCAAGGCGGGCCAAGCAGCCGCTGCAGCCGGCGGCCCAGTGGCCAAGCCGGAGCGCCAGGGCGTCACCCATTGCCATCACGAGGGCGGCGAGACCTACACCATGCGGCCACACGGTGAGCGGCAGCAAGAGGAGCCGCCACATCCACCAGCAGCGGCAGCAGCGGCAGGCGCTCTGCCTGCTTCGTTTATACCCGGTCTGCGCTATGCGCCACCAGCCGTTCCGCCTGGCGCTGCAGCACCACCACCACCAACGGGCGCACCACATCATAGCCATGCGCATTTGCTGCCACCTGTCAATGGAGATCCCTATTTGCCGATGCTGCACGTGCGTCGCGATCTGCACCACAAGACGCTGAACCTAAGCAAGACGACGCCCTCGACACCGCCCAGCATTGTGACCAGCTCCAGCTCGAGCTCCAGCTCCACGGAGCCAGCCAGACCGCCATCGCAGCCGCTGCACTCGCCGCATGAGGCGCTGCCCAGTTTCCTGGGCTCCATACCGGTGCGCAAGCGCATATTGCCGCCGCCGCCGCCGCTGGTGGAGCTGGTGGATCATCAGCGCACATATCTGGAGAATCCCGGTATCTATGCCTTGAACATGTCGCGTCATCCGCCCCGACAGCTGATGTGCAAGCCACCGACAACGGAAACGTGTGCACCGCCCGATAAGGCCGCACCACGCCCACCAGCACCGCCTGCAGCAGTGGCAGTGGCAGCTGCCGCACCGCCGCCGCCATCATCAGCAGTTGCAGCAGCGGCAACTCCGCCAAGCGCTGCGCCGGCACCGGCACCAGCTCCGCCCAGACGGACGGGCTTCAGCATTGAGGATATAATGCGTCGCTGAGAATGGAGGTTTTGAGTTTTTAGTACACTAAGGATTGTTTCAAGGCTATGGCATAGATCATGTGGCGCCCGGCCAGCTGATCTGTGGCAGGCAAAAAAACACGCTACTTAGCCATAAGCGCACTTTTAGTACATTTTAGTACAATGTCTCTAGGCAAGGCAATAAGAATTACTTTAAATGCTTAGTATAGGTTTAACTATATAGTTTATGAATCGCAAGCTTAAGAAGTGCCACAACCTGTTGTTGCATTTGTAGCTTGGCATTGTGCCTTTAGTACACTTGAGTACACTTTAGTACATACAATTCAGATTGGCCTAGTTGTGTGTGCTATTAGTACATTAAGTGCATTCAATTTAGATCAGCCTGATTGCATGTTGATAAATATGGTTTAGTACATTCCATTTAGATCAGCTTAGTTGTGTGTGTGCATTCAATATTATCAGCATTGTGCTTTTAGCACATTTAGTACATTCGCTGAACATCGTTTAGTACATGGCGTAAACCTATTTGAAGGCATCCTAGTTGTATAATTCGAGAGTCTATCAGTTAGTTGTCGTCTAGTTTAGTCCAACACTAAGTGTTGTTGTTTTCTTTAGCTAACTAGTATCTAATTAAAATCCATACTAAAATACTTGTATACACAACTTTAATTTATGTTTAATTTGTAAGATAATCTTGATGGCAAAATCGTGTCAAGATTTACGCTGAGGGAAATAAAGGTTGAAAGTAAAAGTAGCTTAGAAACACGAGACACAACAAAAAAAAAAATACTAAAATAAAATAAAACAAGCTCGGCAAATGCAGCCGTAGAATTCCAGTTAAATTTTTATAGGCTTAATTTATAGCATATCTTAAGTATGTATTTTTAGAGTTTTTAGTACAGCCTTCTAGCATTCCATGGTCTTCCTTGAATTTTAAATGACTTTGAAAAACCACAATTAATATAAAATATAAAATATATACACATATATATATTTAAATAAAGTTTGCATTGAAATTAATTAAATTTTTGTTTCGATTAAGAGGGAAGCATCGACTTCCCATGAATCACTCACGCCCATCAATCAAGCGACATTCGAGCCATTATAAGGTTGTACTTCAGGCACGTTTCGCCCCCCGTTTGGTCTCTCTCGCATAGACAACGCCTCAAACATGGCCAACACACGCACAATTCGGCGCTCGATTCAAGGCAGGTTCCAAGTGCCGCACTCGAACACGTAGAAAGTTCAATTAATGTGGCACGTAAATCGCTGTCATCAGCCGAATGTTGGGCATTTTCAGGAAACCTCATAGGTGCCGCCACACCCGCTCGCTCCCCTCGCCATCAATCGCTGAACTATAAAAAATAAAGCCAAAACAATTATATTAAGCGAGATGAGACATTGATGATATCACCAGTTGCCGCCGCACGTGATTTGCCTGCTGAAAATCGCAAAGCCCGAATGCGTGAGAATGTCCGCCAAATTGACAAAGTTTTTAAAAGGAAGTCGCCAAAGTCGTATGAAACGAATTAATAAATAGCCATTTTTTGTTATGACGCATAGAAATAAGTAGAGGAAAACGAAATAATGTCAAGTATCTCTTACGCAAAGAAAGGGACCTTTACCAAAGGCACATACATCCCATAAAAGTAATTAAGCCCTCCAGCCAAAATGTATGCAAACAAAATATAAATGTCCACAATTTTGAATAAGAATCTTTATTGATAATGTATAATTTTTAAATTATTTACTATTTAATAATTTTATACAAAATCATACACTCATCAAAAATGTTAATGCAAATGAAAATATTAAATATTTCTATTTATGTATGTATTCATATATCTGCGTGTATGTATTTTCATATGCTTTTATAAAATATATTTAAAATTATTAACACATGTCCTCTTCACCTTGCTGCAATACTAAATAAATTTTAGCAAGTTCATTTGCAAATAGAGTATGCATATAATAGAAATAGAGTATGTTAATAGCGTAGTCTAAACTGGGTATCTCCTAGTCAGGCACTTCCTTCTTTAGCATGGCTTATATGCTTTTGTTGACTTTTCTTTATTGTGCCAAAATAAATATTATTTCGAAAATAGTTGCTAATGTGCTGGCTCGGGATCTGGCTAACCTAGAAACCAAGTGTGAGAAAACAACATAAACATTAATACTTCTTTTTAAAATGCTTTTAACTTTATTAAATATTTTAATACAGCCTAAACGTATGCTACACAAATATGCACCGTGGGTAAAAACCTAAAAATATGATCATATTTGCTTATACCTTATGTATGTATTACAGTTTATTTACTTATATTTTATCATTTTATTAGCATTTTACTCCTATTAGAAAATTTAATATTGGATATTTAGCATGATAAAGTTTGTTTGTTTTACTATAACTACGTTGGAATGCCCTGTTTAGCCAAGAGAAAATTGTTTTTAAGAATATTATTAAGACAGAATTTGTATAATTCCTGTAATATTCTAGACAAAATTTTCGCATATTGCTTGAAGCTACATAATTCTAGTATCTCTTTTCAGAAGTGGTGGTATCATTTGCACTTGAGTTATAATCAAGAGGCATTCGATAAAAGCCCTTTAAAGTGTTGTTAAGAGTGTTAAATAAATCAGAACACTATTAACCCCAATCAAGATTCTTCATGAAACTAAAGACACACAAATGGCGCATAAGGAAACAGCTGACCTTTTAAGCGGCTTTGTAAATAAATTTAAAAAATTGCAAAAAAACTTTCAGCCCAATGCTCAAAGCACTATGATAAACTACAGACAGCAGCCTGTTAAGTTAACAGTGAACACTAAACACAGCTCAGTTACAGCGACCGTTAATGCAAACAGCATTCGAACGGCGCAGAAAGCAGCAGGTATTGAGGCAAAAGCTGTAAAAGCTGTGGCTGCCGTCATTTCGGCCAAGGTAACTACGACTGGCGCGCTCAGCATAAGCATAAGCAACAACAACAGCAACAACAACAACAACAACAACAAAAACCCGCCCGACAACAACAACACGACGTTTGGCTTTGTCCACTGCGAGCGAACTTTGAATATTCCGTTTCGCTCGCTCGCAGCGTAACGAGATTCGCTCGCGCAAAGCTTCTCAGCGGGTGTTTTGACTGTTTTGACTGCAGAACTCTGTTGGCAAGAGGTGAAACAGAGAGAGAGAGCGAGAGAGAGAGGGACAGAGTTTTGACCGTGGAGCTTCTCTGGGCGACTCAGTGCGCTCAGAAGGTGAACGACGACGCGGCCGAGCAGACGTGTGCGCGCTAAACGCAACAAATTTTGATCTCAACGGTGCTTTTTTTCTCCTCTCTGTTGTCACATACACATAAGTGTGTGCGCGCGTGTGCATGTGTAAGTGTGATCGCCAATGACCGCGCCTTAAAGCCAAGAAAAAGCGTCGTTTCATTAGCCCAAAAATAATGCGAATAAATAGTCAAAATAAAACACACACAAAAATACCAACGGCAAGTGCAACAAGTGCGTAAAGTGTTGGAAATTGCATTCGCAATATAGAGTTGAAAAGCACTGAAAATATCGCTCGCTGCAGAAGAAAGAAAAAGTGAGGTTGTGTTGGTGAGTCGCTCGCTTGGCCAGCAAGCGACTATTACCAAATACACCAATACAGCGAACTTTAACCAAAAGCCACACAAAGGCCAACACACACACACACATACGCAGACGTCTTGAAGCTGGCTTTTAAAAGAGCTTGAAGATATTTTCTTGTAATTAGAACATTATGGAATGGCGTGGAGAAACCGTAAAACAAAGCTCATTAGTGCGAATATAATGCAACGGCGCGTAAAGATTCAACTACGAAGCTGAATCCGAATCCCAATCCGATTTCAGGTGTTGCGAGTGTTGCACGCTTTCATGAATGTCTAATTGCCAGCAAAAACAACAACAACAACAACAACTCGTACTATCGCTATTTTTTGTGGCCAATAAACTCAACAAACTTTGCCAACTGCATGCGCTCAGCCAGCCGCAACAGCGACTGCGACGCTGGCAGCGCTGCTAGCTGCAGTTGCACTTGCTGCTGCTGCTGCTGCTGCTCCGGTTGGTTCCACATTCTCGTCTACTTCCGTTTCGCCTGGCATTACATGTTACTCACTTCCCTTTGGGCTCGAGCTGATGACGCGTTACCAGCCAACTTTGTTGTTGGCTAATTAATGCGCCGTACGTAAAAGGAAGTGGACATTATCAATCAGTTATCTGTACATATATATATATATATATATATATATATATGCGTATATATATATATAAGTCTTAATGATAGGCCTCTTAGGCCAAGACAGGAGGCATTTGTGGGCTTACATAGATAAAAAGCGATAAGCGTTTGGCAAGTGTTGCCCACTTTTGGCCAATTTTAATTGAGAGAGTGAGAGAGCAGCTTATCAACTGTGAGCCACAACGTGTTTAAGTGAGAGAGAGAGAGAGAGATCGGGGGCTGTATTATAATCTAATATGTGGGCTGGTATTAGTCATTCGAATACACTGCATATCGCGTGTGCTCATCCAACGTATTTAAATCGAAAAAAAAAGCTGAAATGCCGGCACAACAAATGACTACAGATGACTAAGATCGTTTAAAACTAATGAATGATCTATTTGTACTGTCTACAGAGCTCATCAAATATTCTAATTATGCTCAGGGCCAGAAGAAAGAAGAATATATTACTCTAGTGCCCAAAAAAGAGCTGTAATTAAGTAAAGTATATGTTTTTTTGTAATTATTTATGGGATAATTAATTGTTAAGCCTCAAATGGAAAATCTAAGAAGAGCGTGTTAAAATCTAAAGTCCAAGTGATTTATCGGGTCATATTGAAGGGGATTTGGGTATTGTTATGCAAAAGGTAAGACGTTAGAGATTTGTGAGGAAAAGTCAGATGTGCGAAGCAAAGTCTTCCTTTAAATGAAAGTTCAGAGACATTATTGATAGGGTTTGAAAAGATTATTTGGCTATGTGTGAAGTGTTAAAAATGCTTTGATCTTTGGAGAACTACCTGAGTATGGCTTCCCAAAAGTATATAATGGTCGTATATGTGACCGATTTTATTATGACTTAATAGGTTAAACCTCTTACAATCAAGTACAGAACACATCAAAGTGTACACAGCAAAAAGTGTACATATGTCTGTTTGCTATTTTGCCCGTGTGTATGTTATATACCTGCACAATTACCTGCAAAATTAACTTACTTTCGGGTTTATTGTGCCAGTTACAAACGTGTTTTGAATTTTCCATTTTCTATGTCAAATACAAATTTCGCAAAAAAAAGAGAGCAAATATAATTAGAATAAAAAGTCAAATCATTTGATTTAATCATGTCTAAATTGAATACATGTGAAAACACATGTTTTTTTATTTTTCAATTATAAGAAGACAACTCTTGAATAAATCTGTATTGAATGGCATATCACATTTTGTACAAATTTTCTTTTAATATGTTTAAAATTCAATCGACCCTTCAGCTTTTTTTTTCAATTATTTCTTGGCTGTATCTAATCAATTTAAGGAACTACAATCAACGTTTAGCACTATCTAACAAATTCGATAAGTGGCTATCAAGAGATATTGCAATATTGGAATGCTGATATCACAAAGCCTTAAGATAGCTGTGGGCCTTATTAAAAAAATTACACATTAACTGCAATCAAAGGAAGAAAGGCATTTAAAGGAAGTTTAATCAACGCTTTTATCCACTTATCTAAGCAGAATGCATTCCTTGACATACGCAAAATGCCAAATGAAGTTAATAAACCCATAAAAAGGCAG